TACAAAATATGTGAATAGATTAATATAATATAAGTAGAATGATAATAATCGTATACACTATTGATAAATTTGTCATTAATATTGGAAAAACTTATTTAGACAAATCATTAAATACTTTGGCAATAACAAGGATAGATTTAAGTTTTTTATCAAATATAACATAATGATATTTATATAATGTCATATGAACGAAATTTATATTATAGAAAAGTCAGTCAGTATTTAGAAATCGTATAACAAAAATTATTAACGATTTTTTTAAAGAGATACATAGTTCGTTAACTACTTGCATTTAAAAAGGGTCCCCATGTATAGCATGCCCTCATGCGTGTACACATACATATGTATGTTGTTTCGAATTTATATATTGATGTATTATATTTTTTAATTCATCCGCTTATTCCGAATCAGATTCCTGTATAGTAAATAATTACAGTACGTCAAAATCTTAAATATCGAAATTATTTTAACTAATAATATATCTTGTAAAGAAATATACTGTATGTCAAATAGTCTTATATAATATATTGAATAATTCATATAATTATTTTTTTAAAGAAAAATAATAAATTAAAACGCACATAAGACTATAAACATAAGTTTAACTATCGCCAGAGTATATGTGTAAATACATCTTCTTATGGAGTCAATGGCATAATAATATAAATAATAAACAAATAAGATTGCAATATATTAAAATTATGAACATATTTTGTACTCACCATATATTGACCTTCAATATATCGGCCCGAATTTCTAGATGTTCTACGTAATTCTCTTGGTTCGGAATGCTCTTGATTTCGCCTCCTTTTAAAAAAATAAAAAAAAAAAAAAATAAATAAAAAAAAATAAAAAATTGAAAATAAATTATAATTTTTAATTCATTTAAAGAATATTTATATAATATTTACTCACGGCCTCGATTGTATTTGCAAAGTTTTAAGACGAGTATCTATATCCTGTGAAGGACTTGTCGATACGTCTTCTGCCATGGATGCTGGAGACGTTTGTACTAATCCTGATTCTGTTGTCTCATAATATGTATTTGATTTAGAACTACGTGTTATCGAAATTTTTGTAACTGGTAATCTGAAAGTATATAATACAAATTAATACAAATTTAATAATTGAAATAAAAAATTGATATTATATATCGTTATATATCATTTATATTACAAAATGATTGACAAACATACATCGTTCATATTTACTTTTATTGCAAAAAATGTGTACAAATTTTACTTACTGACTTTTCCGTGGACCACGTTTTTTCTTGTGTTTGCTGAAAGATAATTCATAATGATCAAAATAGATTATGCTTATATAATATTGGAATAAAGGGACAAAAATTTAATATTGATATTATTGATAAATGCATTATTAAATATTTTCTATTTAATAGTAAAACAGATCTACGTAAATTTTATATTATCTATATGTATATGTATATATATGTATGTGTGTGCGTGTATATATATATATATATATATATATATATATATATATATATATATTATACATATACGTATATTAACACATTTTTATATTATTAAAAACTGTAACTGTATAATTAATTTGTGTGTATATATATGTATAAATAAATAAATAAATAAATATATATATATATATATATATATATATATATATATATAAATTAACATTTGTTACTTACAGAATTAACCCAAGAAGTAAAACAAAATATGTGTAAGGTAACGATTATAGAGAACGGCGTGTTGTACATATCTGAAACTATTCCAATTTAGGAAATGTGAAACAATGGGTTAATTCTGTCACATTTCCCATATAATTTATTAAATTTGAAAAATGCATAGCATGCTCATTAATGCCAATTTCCAATTGCTTAAATATAGGATTTGGGAACTCTGGGAATAGAAGGTCTCATTTAAATTAATATTACATATGTTTTGTATCTATCACCAATTTGTATTATTGATATATAAACAGGATACAAAGTTTAAACTTACTTGGTTTTAAATATGTATGTTGGATAAGAATACACACATCGTTCTCTATGTACTATTTTTTTCACTTTGTCCAAAAATATTATAATTCACTATTATTTTTCTTCTGTTGTTGTTATCTTAATTCTAATTTAATGTTGACTTTTTTTTTATATAAATTGATTCTAAAGCAGGCACCAGGTATAATTAATGTCATCAATTTCTTATATAATTTTTGCCCCTTATATATATTAACACATATTTTATTTTATATTATTTAAAATTGTAATTGTAGATCGCTTAACAATCAGGTAGCCTGCAACAAGCAGTTTATCAAAGATTACTACCCATGCAAGAGAATACTATCATAATACTAGTTTAGTTAGAATCAAGCAAAAACAAGCAACTGCAAATATAAATAATAAATTCGTTCAGACATTTTTAATAGAATTTGATTATAATGAAAGACCACTTGTTCAAATTACTAAACTATAAGAAAATTTTCAATAGTTCAAATAGTATTTATAAATATATTCAAACAATTCTTGTAGTAAAAATTAAAAAATATATATAATTTCTGAAATACATATATTTTCCATAAGATAAGTATTTCAAATTGAGTAATTAACAATAAGTGAAATTAATTGATTTAGTATCATATTCCAATTTATTTTATTCATATTTTAGATTCATATAGATTCATATTCAGTGCACATAAATTAGTAGGATCTTCTATCCTATTGCATACATTGTGCTCACTGATTTGAATATATTTTATTTATGTACACATATTTCTAACATTAAACAATAATTATGTATTATGTATAAAAACAAAATATAATTTATATTTTATATTATTCAAAATAGTAAATTTTGTTTGAAAGAACGATTATGTACCTATTAAGTCATAATCAAAAACTGAATGATATAGTAAATAAATAAAATAGATAAATTTTAATTATAAAAAATTATTATAAAATAATAATAATTTTTCAAATAATATTGTAAAAATTATTTATAAAAATTTACTATAATGAATATAAGTGATAAATAAAATTTATACAGATGTATAATCTGTATTTGTTTTATAGATACGTATTTTTATAGATATGTATTTATAGATACGTATTTTTATAGATATGTACTTATAGATATGTATACATATACATATATATATATACATATATATATACATATATATACATACATACAACATACATACACACACACATACATATATATATATATAAAATAGTTAGGCATATTTAGTAAAACAGCACATTCAAAATGTTTTGAAATATAATAAAGCATCAATAGATACAAAAACAGCAAAATTAAAGATAAAGTAAAATAATTATGTATATTTACATTCAATTATATAATTTTATGTGATTAAAATAATAATGCAGAAGGAAAATGCACCATAACTAAAGGCTACTATTTGCCGTTTGCAATAATATTATTTAATTATGTTAATTAATCAGTATATTTAAAAAGCTGTTAAATGAAATGTTAGCCTTTTTATTGCAATGGTGATTTAACAAGATTAAGAAAATTCATAAAAGATTACTATTTTATTTAAAAAAAGCAATTGGTTGCATTTGCATTCGATTCTACATTATTAATAATTACAATAGAAAAAGATAAAAAAATGCTTAAATTTAAAACAGATCTTAAATACACCTAACTTACCCTGAAAATTCATGATCGGAACCTTCATCGGCTTCATCCGCATCTTCTTCCTCTGCAAAATAAATAATATCGTATATATTACCAATGTATTAAAAGTATATATAATATATATTTTAAAAACATAAAATTTTAACTGACCGGCTAAATGATCCTTTTTACGTCTTGTGTATGCCCGTTTACTTGTTACTGGAACTTGATCAGTCTCTCCATGCAAAAGACTATTTCTATATAAAAGTAATGGTTGCCAATCTTCTCCTCGTGAAGAAGGCATACCAGCTTGTAATCTTCTATCTAAGAAATTTAATCTGAAAAGAACACAAGAATATTAGATTAATCAATAAAAAAAAAACAAATATTTTATACCAAATAATATGTTATAAATAATACTTACACAACGCGTTTATCCTGTTTTAACAATTTGTTTGTAAATTCCGATAAAATTTCTAGGAAAGAAAGATTAGGTGGTGGACCAGTTGGATCTTGCTCTATACCATCTGGAGGAGTAATAGCAAATAAAACTCCTGCTCTATGTAAAGCTGTAATTGCTTCACGATTTTTCACGGCATCCAAACCAAATGATAAAGCAAATCGTTTAGCCAATTCCTAAAAGTTTCAAATATAATCAATTATTATGTTATATGTTAATGTATGTTAAAATAAAAACTTTTTTTTTTATTTATTATTTCTTAATATGTATAAAGTAACAGTTATTATAAAACAAACCTTAATTGCAATGAACTCCTCGCTATTTCTATTAACCTTGCCTTTTTCCATAACGATTTCATTATATAAAATATTTAAACTGTGCTGCATTGTTAAAGCACAATTCGTTTTATTAATATCTCTGGCTTTACCTAAGGTAGTTTTTATTATATCTCCATAATCATTATAATATTTTACATAATGCTTAAATACATCAGCTGCTGCTTTTGTTGGAATCATATTATAAACGATAAGTTTACAATAACCAGCTAGAAAATTTCGTCTTTTATGTAATTCTTCGATCTTTGAATGCTCATCATGTTCATCTGTTGTAATTATAACAAAGATTAATTTTTTTAGATTGAAGAAAGTTATACATTCTTTAGTAATATAAATAAATAATTACCATCTTCCTCTTCACAAAAAACATATTCTTGTATAAATCGATTAAGCATGTTTTGCATTGCTTGGTCAGGTTCATATACTAATTGAGACATTAATATATTAGGATGAGTAGCCAATTGATTACAAAATACTACTAGTAAATCACATATCGTATTATACGCTTCCTCTCTTAGAATTGGCGGCGTTGGCTGTTTAATATTAATTTATTATATATATATATATATATATATATATATATGTATACACACACACGCGCGCGCGCACACAAACACACGGTATTTCTTTTAGTAATTAAATATTATATGTGATAATAAACTTACCACTGTGCCATTATCACTACTAACAAAATGACGCATAGAAGCCATAAATGAATGTAGGCGCTCCTTCAATTGACGACATTCATCTTCTCCACGATTTCCTGAATCAGCAGCTTCCATCAAATGATGTTGACCCCATAAGATAGCGAAAAAACATGCACTAATACAATACTTTACAGCTTCATGAGGTAAACACCTGAAAAAAGTGGGATTTTTTATAAAATCAAACATTATCTACTAGTTAAATCCAGCAAGAAAAAAATAATACTTTGAAGGATCTTTTGCATCTTCAATGTCTTTATATAAGGAATCCCATATTCCCCAAGGGTTCATGTTATGACAAGAATAAAATATAGATACTTTTTTTAATGATTGAACAACATTGAATATTTCATCTTCATCTGGTTCTTCATCTCCTTCTATTAAATTTCTATACTCATCTATTGCCTCTTTATACTTATTTACAATAGAATCAATTAAAGTTGAGCGTGCCACGTCGCATCTGTAAAATTTATTTTCAAAAGGTTTCAATGTGTTATTTTTTTATAAAATATAAAATTTTCTAATCATTAAATGTACCTTGTGAAGATTGCATGACCATCAACACACATATTTTCCAAAGTTTTAGCTGCAGTATCAAGAACTTCGGTATCATGTATTTTTTCAACAATTGCATGAATTTTGGTTAATAAAGAATCTAAATTTTGCTCTTGACGTGATTTTGTATAAATATCCAAATCAAAATATTGTGGAATAGCAAGCAGATTTGCTAATTTTTCTGGATCTGCTCTATATTTATCAAGTAGATGTGGCAATGTTTGAATAAAATGTTCCGTTAATCGTTGTTTGTCATCATGCACTTGTTTCAATTCTTTTACAGATAAAATCTTACGTGTTGGACCGCGTCCAACAGGTGCTTCTCCTATTTTTATACAAGTAATTATTATTAATTATAAAATATAAATTTATATAAATATATTAAAAGATAAATTATATAATTGTATCTAACCTGTTGCTGCTTGTTTTATACAACAAACCATTAATTCAATAAGAGATGTTTCTTTCTGATTATCTAATGCTTCTTCCTCAGGACCAGCTTCTTCTAACAACAAATCTGTCATACATTCCCAATCTTTCATCATTTGATTAGTTTCAATTAAAGAATCAACTAGATATGCTCCATGTTCATGAAGTTCAGATTCAATAAAAAATAGTACAAGATCACGTATCAATGGAGTGTTTGGTAAACGTTTTTTGCCACGTTTTGTTTTTACCCCAGCGATGGCTTCATCATCTGGTCTGAACAAACGTTCGTTTAAAAATTCTCCTGCTGCTTGTGCGACAGCACGATGAGATGAATAAACAAGTTCATAGACATGTTCACAATCTTTATCTGTAAGAATTTCTCTATGATGTTTTAAAATAGATATAACTAGTTTCACAGCTTGCACTGCTACATCATATTCTTTATCTAATGTCATAGCAACAATTCTATCCTTAAATTTACTAGTAAATAATTCAAGCTTTGTTTTTAACTCTTCAGAAGCATATAAAGGTTGCAATGCTTGAAGACATTTTAATCGAACTTCTCCAACTTTATCATGTAACGTCCAACCTAAAAATTAAATATAAAAATGAGATATTTTTAAATATTATTAAATTATACTCAATTTCTACTAACCAATATATTTTAGATATGAATCATCCAAAAAATTTTGATGAAATTTTTTCATCCAAACTCCAATCTCTGCCATACAAATTGCTCGTATTTCTGGTAAAGTATCTCTATATCTATGTACAAATACGGACTTAAACATATACGTAAGCATATTTTTTATCTCATCCATATTCTCTTCTAATTCTTTTCGTTTAGCCATTAAAGATTCAAGTCTATCTGCTGCTCTTTTTTCTCGTGCTTTTTGTCTCTCTGCTTCATATTGTCGCTGAGTATTATCCAAATTTATTGAGACAGTTAAAGCAACATCTACTAGAGCAGTCATTAATTTCATAGCTAAGCATATATAAAATTATAATTAAAATAAATATAACACGCATATAAATATGTATGATATTGTAAATGATTTGAGCTCATAGATATATTTTTCATAAGTATTAAGGATATATGTGAAAGTTATCATGCTGCGGCTATGCGTAATTATATTATTATATAATATATATATTATTAAGTTAAATATATATTGAAGTTATACATACCAGCAAGTGTAGCTGTGTGTCTAAATGCTCTTACTTGTGAGTCAGATAGACCTGTTAATAATGAAATGACATTGTCCATCAAAAATTGATCATAAATAATGGAGTATTGACACTGTCGAACTAATATTTGTACAAATTCACAGAAATTTGCTCGAAATTTTTTCCATTGTTGTCCAGTCATAATTAATGGATACTCTCCACTTTCCTATAATGAATTATATATACATTAATAATAATTTGGTAAAAAAGAATAATAATAAAAATATATATACTTCATCAAACTCTTCAGTCATTTTACGTATTATTGCTACATGCTCCATAGTTGCTTGCATTTCTGAAGTAATACGTCCTTTACAACCACTTGCATTGATAAAAAATTGCATTAACATAAGTAGTGCATTTTCTCTATTACTTTTATACTTTTCTATCCAATCGTCCACAATGGTCTACCAATAAAATATTTCTTTAAACAAATATTACACACATTGTCCTTTCTATATTAATAATTAATTTTGTGAATAACATACAGTAAGGGACGAACGATTATTTCTAATAACATAATAAAGACTAGCTTCATCCTCTAAACTGTGAGAATGATGTATACGTCTTCCACGGCCACGTCCACCTCCTCGACCTCTACTAGTAGTTGTTGGAATAAAATCTGTGTCAATTTCCTTGTATTTTGGTTGTTGTATAGAACCTCCTTGGTTGTTGTATGGAAACAAAAGTTAATTAAACTTTCTGTTATTTATAACTAATTTTTTTACAATTACAAAATATACCTCGTAATCTGGCACGTGTATTCCGTGTAATTCTCATATTAGCAGGTGTCGCAGGTGTCATTGGTTGTTCAAATTGCGCTTGATTATCAAAATTAGTAGACTGTTCTTGATATTGTTGTTGTGATGTGCCAGGAGAACTATAACTTTCAGAAGAATAATGCTCAGGCCTAGAAAAACCAACATATAAAACAAAAATATCATTGTAAAAATACTATTGGTACATTTATACTATTTTAATAATTACAAATATGTATTTACGTGGGATTATGAACTGGTGTTCGAGATACATTATTATAGGATGTATATGAAGAATATGATTCATTTGCATCAGCAGTATTATCATTTGATGGAGTCATGGGTGTCATAGGTGCCTCATATTCTGGAGGTACCGGATCATCCATACGTATTCTTTTACCACCTCTTCTATGCATCATTATGACAATTCTTGTACCTTTCTACAACAAACCTTAAACAAAATTAATAACAAAATATATATGTGAAATATTATTAATACATAAGACTGATTTTTTAATTGATAATATGTATATATACAACACAATGTATATATAATACACAATTGTAAATTATAAATATAATATTTCAAACCTTTATGAAGTCCTCGGATCATCCGGAAACTAAATAATTTCAAATGTTCGAAATTTCTTTAGCTTCTAAGACAACTTATACAAATACAATTATATTTATAAAATTACTGTAATATACTTTAAATAAAATAATTTTTAAATGTTACAGTTAACTATAAAACTCATATTTAATGTTATATATACATATGTATATATTTTGATATTTGACTTGATATGACTCAATAACTCAAAGCGCGTGAGCAGTTATGATACTAGATGGGAAAAAACATAGAATGCAGTAGTTACCTATTTTGATTGGCTGATTTCAAACTTTACCAAAAAGTGATAAACTAAGCGCGCGAACATATAAAATGATGAAAGATAAAATAATATCGAGTGAATTATAATGCTTAAACTGTTTTATATAAAACTAAAGAATCATCTATTGTTAATTTAATCATGTGATATTTAAATATTTACTTCAAATTTGGAAATATTTAAATAAAAATTTCCAAATAAATTTCTATTAGTTCATATTTTATTATTATATACATTTGCCAATAATTAATACTTTACTATAAATGTAAAATATACTTATAAAAAATTGATATTAGTTGATTTCCAAGCTCGTTTTCGAACCTAAATAATAGATCAAGGTACAATACTTTTATTTTTATAAGTAATTAATTGTATATTTGTATCTTCTTACATAAATATACAAGTATTTATTAATCACATTATGTATTATGCATATATATAAATATATATATATACACACACACACGCGCGCGCGCGCATTTATCTATTTGTATTATCATTAATTTCTGACACCTGGTACTCTATACAAAAACTCTCCATCATCATCATAATAACAATCAGAAATTCTGTAAGTTTTGCCTTTTTGGTATATATTTTGTGGTATTTGTATTGGTCGTGAATATACTTCATGTTCTTCTATTTTTTTATTCCATGCTTTCACATAAGTGTCTAACTTGGAATCATTTTTGTCTGTAGGAACAAGTTGAGGTGGTTCACTTTTTTTTATAGAAGTTAGTGTTTTTTCTTGGTTTGATGTTGAAAAACTCAATTCTTTTTTTTCTTCTACTTCTTTTTCTTTGTTTTCTTCTACTTCTTTTTCTTTGTTTTCTTCTACTTCTTTTTCTTTGTTTTCTTCTACTTCTTTTTCTTTTAATGCTTTTATATGCTCTGATTGTACAATATCGTCATTAATATCAGGAAATGTATTGTCAAGTTTTTTAAGCTGATTTTTATAAGCATTTAGTAAAGTAATGCCTTCTTCTGGACATTTTGCATAAATTTTTGTAAGCTCCTTCTTTGCAAATTCATCGAAAGTAATTTTATTTTTAGATGAGACTGAATTGTATCCAATTAATGCTATATTATCTTTATGCAATATTTTCTGTTTCATAGGACTTCCTTTGTCAAGCATATTTTTTGAAATAGTATTATTATTAATAGTATTATTTAAAAGATTTGTATCTGTAATTGCTTCTGTATTATTTTGTAATATTTTATTATTGCATTGATCACTTCTATTCTGATCTAAATAACTTTGTACAATATTTGTAAAAAAAGTACTTTTTGGTTTTGGAAGTTCAGATTTTGGTGGTATTAACTTTTCTGCTAAGAGATGTCTGTTAGGTAAAACAATCTTTCTATCTTTAAATTTTGCTAAATGTTCTCGCAAAACAGGACTCACAGATAATTTTCCTGTTTTAAATAGTTTCCAATTATTAATAACAGTAGCATCATATTGCAAAATTCGTTTTACTGATTTGTAAGACCAATTTGACTTTAAAATTTTTTTAATAGTATTTGGTAAAGCTGGAAAACTTTTACTTAACATTTCTACAGTCCATTCTTCTGGATTATTTTGATGCAGTTTTAATATTTGATCTTTTTCAACAGACGTAAGGAAGTTAGGATCCTTGTCTTTTTTAAAATATTTTGTTGCAACAATTTGATTCTTGAGTTTGATTCTATTTTTTATCACTTCCCTAAAAATTATATAGATATTACTATATGATACAAATGGATATATAATATTTGATCCTGGAGCAATTCTAAACATATAATAATTCAATATAAGTTAGAATATCTACGAGATAATTTACCGCTCATAATTTTTATGAAACTTATCAGCATTCATGAACTCTGCTTCAAATTGATCTAAATCATGAAAATCCAATTCTTCGAGGTTAACTTCTGATCCAACATCTTCTAATATCTTTAATTTACTTCGAATACCAACATTTTTTCTACTATATGCTCTATAAGATACATATGATACTATTCTGAATACATTCATTATAAAATATTTTTATTTAATTATATATTTTATTTTTAAATACATTTAACAATAATTGGATGTATGCGATCTACTCCGTTCTAACCTTTGTCATACGAAAAAGTATTTTGAATTCAGCCATTAAGGCTCTTCACTATTTTTTGTTCGAAGCGTATATGACTTCAGCGACAGGTATGTACAAAACATGAACTATGAGACAAGCGGAAAACATTGTTTTCATCATGCGTCTATCGTATCAGTGTATATGCTCGTTTAATCCCTTTACGCGTATATAACAATTGATTCTCTATGGCTAGAGTAAAAAGTAGACTATGAACTTACACTTTTCAGTTTCTCATATGTATATCTTTTTTTGATGATAGAGTACGTCATGCTGTAATCCGTGTTAAATACGATGTCGGTTGTTTCACGATAAAAGAATAAAAGAATAATAAATATAATTAACATTAATAAAAGAATAATAAATATAATTAACACATATAACAATTAGTATATAAATTTGCAAATTTAAAGAAATTATCTTTGAACCTAACTATATCTTATCTATTTGCCTGTAGAAGTATTATTGGCAATATAAAATATTAATACATAATCAGAATTAGATCAAAAAGATTTTGAAAATACATTGAAATATGCAGCCATTTATTTGGTAGTAATTGTATTATATGATTTATACAGACTTCACTAGTAATACCGATCTAATTTTCATTACGAGGAAGTTGCTGCATATGAATTGACGTTGTTGACTCTACTCTAAAATCCACGTTTCGCGATACCTTTCCACTTCGGGAGCTTCAAGCTTCTTAATTAACAGGAAAAGTATGACACTCCGCTTACGGATAGCTTCATCGTCCGATACCATCAGTTTCAGACATAATGGATTATTAAGCACGATCGTTCGTGCTTTCTGAATTTCTGGGTCCTATTCATGGGTCCCACCTGAGACTTAGAATTAATAAGAGTAAATAAAGAAAACGCTACGTGCGCAATTGCAATAAAGTTCTGAAACAAAAAAATACGAACAAAATAAGTAGTATCACTATATAAATTATTGAAAAAAATGTGATATAAAAACATATTTAAAATATTCATTGATACTTGCAGCAAAAACATTCATAGAGACCTTCGATGTATCGACATCAGAAGAACTGATCCGGTAATTGTCAAAGTCAATAAAAAGTCCGAATATATCGATATTGCATGTGGCCAACAATCCTGAGATGAAAATTTTTAAGTATTGGAATTTTAAATTGAAACTATTTTAAGTTCCCCGCGCATTTCCGTTTTTTTAATAATTAAATAAATATACTATTGTTTAAATATTAGTTTATTGTACTACATTTACATTAAAGATCGTTTAAATAATTGAAAAATTATCGAAAGTATTAATTTATAAATTTTCACGTTTAAAATGAGAGAGTTTTGATGTTCGCAGTACAAATGAAAACCAATTCGATAATCGTAAAAGTTTTTGTGACATTAGACACAAATTTTTTTATTTTTGCCATAGAATCATCTGTCCAAAAAGTGACCAAGTAAGTTACCGTAGATTCTCTGTGCAAGTATCGTGAAACGTATTTCTTTTGTTTGGAATGATTCAGAAAATCTGAGCAGTAGCTATTTACGTATTCAAACTAGCAGGTAATTACTGCTTCACGGAATAAACATATCCCATTTAAGCGTGATGTGGAAATCAGTAGTGGGGATAGGAGCTTCTTTTCTTTTGCCGCAAATTTCGAGGGGCGCCACAGTATAAAATTTTTTTACGCGAAAAATGTCGAAAATAGTATTTACGCCAATAATGAGAATAGGTGTAATTCTTTACCAATTTTAATGGACAAAATCTCGTTAAAGACGAAGGTTTCATTTAGGATATATCTTCTTCGAATTTTTGAAAAAACTTTTTATTAGTGCATAAATTATTCTTGAAGAATACCATTTTTTAACACGATTTTTTTCAAAGAAAATAAAGTTTTTTCAAAAATTCAAAAAAAATGTCTTAGATTAAACCTTTATTTTTAAAATAAGACTTTGTTCATCAAAATCGATTAAGAATTAAGTCTATATTTAATGTTTAATAGATTCATTTTTTTTTAATAATTTTCAATTGAGAAAAAAATAAATTTATTCTTCAGTTTATTTAAAGCACAAAAAAGAAATAAAAGTAACAATGTTTTAGATTTAACGGAAGATCTAATCAAGTGAAAAGATTATTTAATAGATCAATGTAGCATACAAGGTAATAAGGATGTGTAGTATCTATGTACATATTTCATTATAAAATATGACAATTACATGATTTGATAGATATCTGGTATAAGTATAAAAATACTCTATTGCTTTTTTACATGATTTTTCGTGACTATTACATGATCATATTTAAGGTACATGTAAATGAAAAGCAATTTTTACTTATAAATGTTACATTTAAAAACATTTAAAGGCAATTATAATATAAGTTTTTGAAAACACTACATTTATTTTTAAGCTTATCTGCCATAATCGAAAATAAAAATGATGTTTCAGATTTAAAAAATATTTGATTGTAGATTAGAAATATCTTAAAAATGATTCCAATCCTAAGAATGTTATAAAAATTTCAAATAGCACTTTAATTCATGGGCACAATATGATTATAAAATGCTCAATGTAATTTTTGCATTATATCAAGCTTGGTGATTTCAGGATAAAAACAAAAATATACTATAATGCAAACATTACTGTTAATCTCGTTTGTCTGCTAGAACTGCATCTACTGTAGCTTTTATTGCTGAAATCATATTATTTAATAAATAAACAAATATGTTCAATATTAATTTACTTCAAATAATTACCATTATCGCGAGTATTTGATAGAAATTTGTCCACATGAGAATGATATTGCAAAAATTTTGGGCGTACAATACGTCGATAAATAATCAAAGAACCATTATATTCCATTGGAGCCATTAACCATATGTAGAAGATACACTATAAAAACAACATAGAAAATTTTTACATCTTATTTAAAATAGATAGAATATATATAATTCCAAATTTTTTATACCTTTAATAACCAATAAAAAGGAAGCCAACATACGATAAATTCTGAAAAGAATTCAATGATAGTAAAGAGAGCGAATACAATCCAATAAGTAAGCCATTTTGAATCATCATTCTTGTTAGGACTTTCTAAAGCTTTCATCGAATAATATGCAGGATAAACAAAACCAATAATATTACACACTAGCTGTTGTCCAACTCCAATTAGTAAATATAATGAGAAAATAACTATAAATCCTAAAAAGTAAATTAAAACTATTTAGATAAAGATTTGATAATAATTTTATATACATACATACATATATACATATACACATAGGATTAATTTATTACAGATACTTAACTATTTATATTTATATACTTTTCCTTAAATATAAATATGAATATAAAAATAAGTTGAGATAATAATATAATATATATATACATAGTATGATCAATCAATAAATACAGGCAACCCCTTCTTCAAATTATTTTTCATTATAGATTTATTTATTAAAATTTAATATTAAATATTATAAAATGAAAAAGAAAAACAAAATTATATGTTTATTTTAAATATTAATAAAAAAATATAAACAAATCTTTTTCTTATAATTTTAAATTGATATATGAATTGTATCTTTATTATATAAAATATATAAACATAAAATAATTTGTATAAAAAAGATCATTAAAAAGTTCATTAAAAAGATAATTAATGTAACATTATGTGCATACCAACAAATAGGTATAGTCGATTGATTCCAGTTTTTTCTTCAGCAAATGCAAATAGCTTCACCCATGGTTTGTTTTCATCCTTCAACGTTTTTTCTATTGATTCTTTTATAACTTCTATCCTTGACATCTTTAATTTGATGAAAAATACAATTTTTTATTTTATCTAAACTGTTTTTTTATTTTACCTATAGGCTGTAAATTGACCGTTAACTCTAGTAGACAAATCTTACTAAACTGGTAAACTGTTCAAAACAGTGCTTCCAATCTCAATAAAAAAAATTTCCTATTAGTTATTTTGAAATTTTCTCATTTTACCTATTAGTCTCCAAAAATTTTGAAATATCAATTTTTTATTATGTCTATAAGATTTTCAATCTGAAATATCAATTTCTTAAATAATCATTACGTTTTTCAAATAAAAATTAAGATTAATAATTTACATTTACAGGGACGCTTTGTCTATATTTTATTTCAAGAAGATACAAAGTACAAAGATGGCGTCTCTTTGAAAGATAAAGAGTAACGTAATTTTTGAATTGAAGCAGGTATGAGGATAAATGTCATTCATTTAAATGTATCCATCAGAATATAAAAACCAACACATCTAATTATAATATTATAAAAATGTTGATATTTTTATCGTTCAATTTTACAAAATATACGTATATATGTTTATCTTTATATTTATTAATAATTATAAGAATACAAATTTTAATATAGAAACATTTAATGTTTATTTAAGGATTCTCTATATTTTTATAAAAATATATAGAAGCTTGTATTATAAACAAATCATTTAAAAATTCATAAATCTCTTACGAACTTAAATTTATTTATATTTCCAATAATTATCATATTGTTGGGGGAATATTATTCATAAAAATAGATTGTTTATAAAATATAGACAAATGCAAAAGATCTTGTAATTTATTTTCAATAAAATGCCTTGTAAGATAAATTATTATAATCATTAGTCAAGAAACATGTATAGCATATAAACATTTTCCTCATGAAATATTCATACTAACATTTACTTTATATCTGTAAATTACTTCGCAATACGTTTACTTAATCTATAAGTATATTTTATCTGTAAGTTTACTTTTTATGAAAATCTAGATTTTATTAAGTGCATATTGCACAAATTACATTATACTGAATGAATAATTATTTTTTAATATCAGATATGTACAATTCAAGCAGTTTGTATGATCTTGTTTTGTGGTCCTTTTTGTGTTGAATTAATCTTGTCACCTAAAGAAAGGGCCATACCTTGACTTTTAGCCCTAATGCGAATATGACCTAATACTGGAGCATCTGTTTTATTTAATGGTTTTTCAATTGACAAATTAGCTAATGCATCTTCACCAAAAATAGATTTAGCATACATATTAGCAGCCATGAAACCGCATTGTCCAGAAAGAGCCTATTTATTAAAATACAATAATCGTTTTTATATGACATTTGATGATATAATAATACATAAAAATATATTTAGTACATAATAGAAATACCTTTTCAGGAGTAAGACAACGCATATTTGTAGATTTTAATAAATGGGCTAAATATTCTCTTAAATCAGAAAGACTTGTATTTACAGAGACTTTATTTTCCCATTCAAATTCGGCCCACATTTGTCGGAATTCAGCATCAGTACATGTTGCTGGTACTATATAATCCATTATATCAATATGAATATCGTTCAGAACAACAACACTTCTATCAGATCCAGCACCAGATACATCATAAACTATATAAACATTAATATAAAATATTATACTATAATTAAAATGAATTACATAACGATAAAAAACAACAAAATGCTTAGTCATTTCTACAATTGCTTAGTTAGATTAATTAGTTAATTAGATTATAAAGCTTACCTATATTACCAAATATAATTCCATTTTCAGTAGATGCTACTTTTACATTAGCTTTGATACTTGCAAAATCTCTTGGAGCTAATACAATAGGCTGCGGACGTTCAACCAATTTTAAGTCTCCCATTGTCGCTAATTCTAAAGTACAATTTTGTAAGGTATCTTCCGTTTGATTAACGATTAATACATCAAGCACAATATCATATTGATTAACGTGGACAAGTGCTTCCGCATATACTGGATCTGAAAATCCTGTAAGCTGTGTAACTTTACTTAAAGCACTTGGAGATGGTGTATCTCCTGTTGCTCCAGGTCTTCCAGCAACGGCTACAGTAAGACTTTGTTCGAAAACATCGCCAGCACCACCAGTCAAGTCAGAGCCACGATTAAGTTGTAAAAATTGTATAGCATCATCAACTTGTACAATATTTCCTGGTTTTTCTTTTGCCTGAATATTAGAAATCATTTTAAAAAACTAATGTTAATATGTTAGATAGGATATATTGCTATTAACTTGATGTTACATATATAACCTTTTGATTTTGAGAATCCTCTTCTGCTTTAGCTGCTAACATTCTACCTAAAGCTTCACGGCATCCATTTGTAAATACTTTTTGTAATAATGGAGTTGGACAGGCAAGAGATCTTAAACATAAAGAGATTCTTTCTGCGTCATCATGTGTCATTGCTTTGGTAGGAAGTCCAGATCTACCCAGTTGTAAAACACTAGACATAACAAGCATTGCTTCTGCTTGTAGTTTATTACTTTTATGAGGGTTGTTTTCGAGACTTTTATATCGCAATGCTAATTTGGCTATAGTTGTAGCTAAAGATGCACCAATAAAAAAATCACCATCCATCATATACTGTACTAGAGGTGGACGTTTTTCTTCTTTCCTTCCTGTTTATAAAGTTGTGCATGTTTTATGTATATTTATTTTAATATTTTAATAATAATAATATTTGTATTCTGCACAAAATATGAATTGATTACAATACCTTCTGCTGTGGTGCTAAATGCACTTTGAGTTGCATATGTTCCATCTGATGTAACTAACTGTGCAGGAACTGTTTGCTCACTGTCATCTTCATTTGATTTTTCCCCAGCTTGTCTTTTATTTTCTGCTTCAAGTAATGGTAATTCTCCTAAAGCAGCGCGTATACGATTCATTACTGCTTCTATATCTTCTTTTGATATTGCATATTCACCAAGTATCCACAAAGCAGCTCTATGAACTTTGACTGATCGAATATGTGGGAAAACCTAAATTGCAAACATAATAATTTTTATTAGAATATACATTATTTATTAGGTGATTTAATTCTATGCTATTTTACCTCCAGAAGCTTCTCAACGATAAGTGGTCTAAGATTTTCAAATCTTTGAATAGCTTCACGGACAAAAACTAGAACATCAGTAGCAGCAGCTTCATTGTTTTCTGACAAGAAATCTGTTAGCACTGGTATGACTGTTGCTGCAACATCTGAGAATTTAATTGAACAAGCATGTAAAGTCCTTACAAGTAATTGTCGATATCTTCCAGCATCTTCATGTTCACCACCAGCAGTTCTAAGAACTTCTTTTTTTAAAAGTTGAACCATTTCCTCAACTGTACGATTAGTTACTAAATCCATTGCTAAAGCTAATGTTTTTGTTCTTACTTCTAATGCAGGTGAACCTATAATATAAAATATTAATAAAATAATATTATTTAATTAATATTTCAAAAATATTAGAGAAAATATACCTAAAACTCTAAGCACATCCATAACAAGATCTTGAAGAACTCTTTCATAGATAGGGCTATCTTTCATGGCAATTAGACGATCAAGTACAATAAGCTTCACATTGTTGTCACTTTCTTTAACAACTAATTCAATGTAACAAGATGCTGCTGCTTTAATTGCTGTTGGTACATTAGAGAGAGTTATTAAAGTACCAGCTGCTTCATAACGTACAGCTGCACTAGGTGAATTTAATAAACTGTAAATACATCTAATAAAGCGTGCCCTTTCGGTTGGATTTGCTAAACAAACCTAAAATTGATATATTTAAATTATTAAGTTGTTGAATAATAATAAATTCTACCAATAATACATACCTTATAAATTAATTCCACAATAACTAATTGTAAAATATCTCCGAAACTAGGCACTTGGTCTAAACATGCAGCTAAATAAGCTAAAGCTTTATTTTGATCTGCATGTAATAACATCAAAAATGCATTTCTTCTACACGACATATCTTGTTCTCCTTCTAAATATTTTGCTATTAAATCTGGTGCATCTGGTATTAGAAATTCAAAATTCCTGTATATAGTAAAAATTGCTAACACTGCATTACGTCTGACATAAGAATGTCTATGTTCCAAACAAGCTGTTATCGATGGCATAAGAGGTTCTAAAAGTTCTGGTTCTTTCAATTTACATAAAAATCTGAAAATGATCAATATTTCAAGATTTTCTTTATATTATCTATATTCTAGATATTATCTCTCTTTATTATTAAAAATACATATCAATACCTTAAAGTTGATCCTCTTACAAATTCATTTGGATGTTGCAAGTCTTTTCTATAAGCATCACATACCAAAATCATTTCTTGAAGTAGTTTTCCATCGGGAGAAGTTTTTGGAACGATTTCCCAAAATATTAGAAGAAGTTTTTTAATTGTATGATCTTGCAATGGTAAAACAAATCTAATGATTGTCATAAGTAAACCTGGTAAACGTTCGCCACTTAAAATCATATAAATAGTTTTCTTAAGTGCTTCAATTTTTGTATGAACATCGCCTTTTTCAAGATCTTGTTTCAATTGCAGCTCATTCAAAGGTTCTGTATCCGTCGGTATGTTAATTAAGGTATAACAAGGTTGTTCTACCAAAGTACTCATTTTGCTTTTATTGTTCAATCCACTGTGCTGCAAAGTATTTGACTGTATTGAAATATTGAAACATTATAGTAGCAACAGAAATTTTATTAGAGAAAATCATGATACATAAAAAATAAGGTTAATTCTTTTTATTAAAGTATATACAGCTTTATTCAACATATCAATATACCTGAATTATATTATACATACCTAAATCAGAAAAGATCTTGTAAAGAATACCGTTGATAATATGTATTAAAGATATTTATCATTTATAAGCACTAGATTTTACAAGAACATTTCTAAGTAGAAGAGGAAACGGCATACGTGTCAACTTCTGATGCTACTGAAAAAAGAGATGGCGCTAATAATAGTAAATCTTTAATGTGTTTATCTACCTTGTGCATCTAATGTTAATACTAATGCGTATTAATATTAAACAATTATACTTAAAATATTATCGGTAGTATTACTAATTCGTTATTTGATGTAAATACTAAATTATACTTAATTTATATATGTATATATGTACGTATATAGGATGTGTAAAAATGTGCGGCAAAACTTTAAGGGTATGTATTACTGATCAAAACAGATAAAAAAAAGATCATGAATTCAAAACATAATTTTTTGAATCTTTGTATGTGTGTGTGTGTGTGTGTGTGTGTGTGTGTGTGTGTGTGTGTATAAAAGAAGGATATTCCACTATATAAAGTAATAGAATAGCTATAATATGTCAATATAATTAATTTAAAACGATGTATCTATGTGTGGATAGATATTATTGAATCTGTACTGCTATATAATATTATTTCATAATAAATATAAATAAAAATATTTATGATGTAGGACCAGAAATTATTCTATATAAATTAAATAAATATGAAAATTGTTGTTCGTTAATAATACACAAAAAGAAAGAAAATTCGATAAAATTTATATAGAAAAATAAAGAAATCTTGTAGATAATAATCTGTAATTTTTATGAAATTATAATCAAAATAATAATACAAAATAACAACGAAAACGAAATAAAGTGTGTATACAAACAGCATATAAAAAAAATTAATATTTAATAATTTTTTTTATATATAATATATTATCTTTATCTAAAAGGGTTAAATTTACCGCTATTTATACAAGGTCCCATGGTGTAATGGTTAGCACTCTGGACTCTGAATCCAGCGATCCGAGTTCAAATCTCGGTGGGACCTACCCTTTTTTATTTTTTTATTTAATTTTCATTTATAAGTCAGTACAAATGTTATACATATATAATAAAATAATAATAGTTATATTCTTTACAATAAAAATATAAATTTACTTATAAATGTTTTTGGCAATAAAGCTTTATTATTATTATTATTTAAGTTTTATTATTTGATCATATAATCATAGTCTAAAAACTTTATTTAATTTCCTAATTAAATTAAACGTTGACTTTACCATTATCTTTTTGCGTCATGTTTTTTCTACCACGTCATTATCAGTATTCCTCTTTTACACTTTATCCACTTCACGTAATAATTCCTTATTTTTTCAATTACAAGTCTATTAATTTAAATTGTAATGGAGATGCGATAGTATTGATTAAACGATTGTGTAATTTTAAAGGTGAATGATGCCATTCGATACGGAAATTTTGTAGTAACTAAATAAATCATTAAAATATAAAATTTCACAATATATATATTAAGTAATTAATATATGCATATATTATGTATTATAATTAAATAATCAACAAACCTTTAACACTAAAATTTCAATTTCAAATTCAGCAAATCGTCTACCAATACATGTACGAGCTCCAAAACCAAATGGCATGTAAGAAAACGGATGAGCGTTTTTTGCTGATGGAAATTCTGTTTCTCCTCGTATCCATCTTTCTGGTATAAACTCACCTGGATTTTTGAATTCTTTAGGATCTATTGCCAATAATGAATGTCCTAATATAATATCACACTAAAAGAAAAAAAAATATTTGTATTTATATACGTATATATATGTGTATATATATGTGTATATATGCGTATGTATGTATGTATGTATGTATGTATGTATGTATGTATGTATGTATGTATGTATGTATGTATGTATGTATGTATGTATGTATGTATGTATGTATGTATGTATGTATGTATGTATGTATGTATGTATGTATGTATGTATGTATGTATGTATGTATGTATGTATGTATGTATGTATGTATGTATGTATGTATGTATGTATGTATGTATGTATGTATGTATGTATGTATGTATGTATGTATGTATGTATGTATGTATATATTTAACACACACACATACACACACAAATGTATTTTGGACGTTTATAAATCTCTCTCTCTCTATCTATCTATCTATCTATCTATTTATCTATCTTTAGACCTATTTTTATTTTTCACTCTTTCTCTCTTTCTCTCTAAAATTCAATGGTTAAATGTCTTACATCTTTCGGTATATTATATCCACCTATAACAATATCATCTCGTATGGTTCTAAGAGTACCTATGGCGATCGGTGATAATCTAAGAGATTCTTTAAGACATGCTTTTAAATATGGAATCTTTTTCATAGTTTCTACTGTAATTGGTGATTCTTTATCAGGTAATGCTAACTTGATTTCGTTGTGCAATTTTTCTTGAGCTCGTGGATTCATTGCTAAATGATACAATAACATTCCGCATGTATTACTTGTCTGAAAAATAGATTAGATTATTTTATATGATTATATATATTATACTTATTTTATATGATTATATAATAAATGGATTTATTATTATCTACCGTATCAACACCAGCAGTTAACATATCTAATGCCATTACATAAGCAATTTGCTCATCAATAAACAAAAGTTTATCTAATACGCTTCGTTCACGCGTATTGGATGTCGTTTTATTATGTAATTTTTCTTTCGCCTGAGTAATATATTTAATTGCTATTCTGTGAATAAAAACATATCGAATTAATTTGATAGGTAATAAAAAAGTATATTATTTTACGAAATATATTATATATTATAATACGAAAGGTAATAAAAAAAATATATTATTTTACCTAATATTATATCTACATATAAATATAAATGATATTACCCATTAAGAATATCTAGAACATTGAAAAACTTTTTTAAAGTACGCGTGTTATATATTCTCCACAAGGACGGCATTAGCTCTAAGCGAAACATAAGATTGAACATGTCATGTATGCTATCGATCATTTTCTGAGGTTCCGAATCTTCAGCTATATTAGATTTTAAACAGCCCAATCGATGATTTAACGCGATTGCACATATTGCTAAAATAAAAATATTAACAATGTGTTAATAACTTTAAAAAATTTTCTTACGCTTTTCTCTTTTTTAAACCAATTTATAATAATATTTGTAGATATAATAAAATATTTACATTCTAATGCCCATTTATTCATTTCGTTATTAAACGAAGTGGGTAGTTCCAACGTAATAGGATTTCTTAATTCTCCTCGTATCTTTTGTATAAATTCTATAGCAATTTCAGTCATTTGTCCAATATGTGGATTAATAACACGTGGCTGCATCATGTGTTGATTAACTTTTGTCCGAAAATCATACCAATCTTTACCTTGACTAAATCAACATTATTTTTCAACTAAAGTATACTTTTTTATTTTCTTAATTAAAATTTTATTTTCTTATGATAAATAAATCAAGTTTATGCTGACCTCGTTGTTAAACCATATTTTCCTTTATAAATCCATTCTCTATTTATGCGATAATAATGCAACGATTCCATGGCGATCCTTTGCGGCCATGGACCTTCTGTACGATATACCTTTTCAATTAATGTCGAAGAAAATATAAAAATGGTCTTACGCTTATTTGGCAAACCATCTATCTTAACTATATCTCCATATTGATCACGAAGCATTTTTAATTGTGTTACAAACGCCTTATTTCCAAATTCGCCTATATTAGAAGTATTATATTATAGAATAATTAGCGATTAAAAAGTTTTTCTTTTTTTTGTAAATAATAAATATCTGCACATATATGTATATTTAAATATGTCATACCGATAAAAGGTATAAATCTAAAAGTATTGCCTATTAACCATATCGGTTTTGGTCCAGGTATATCGTCATAAGAGCGAACAGTTGTTATATTATCATTTGTTTCGATCGAATATGGCACAGTTTTTATACAACGTTTCATTAATCCATTAATGACGGACATTTTGTTGTAATTATAAAAATTTAATCTCACACTCATTGTATGCATATAAATCTATATATTAAATCTATATATTAAAAAAATATAATTATTTCGAATATGATATTATAAGATAAACCAACAAGTGATTAATATTAAGATAAGCTATAAGTATTTTTACAGTAGGAATATGAGTATACATATATATACATATATATACATATATATATATATATATATATATATATATATATATATATATATATACACTGTACTGTATCAATATTTAAATTCCTAACTATAGATATATACATATATATAAGAGAAAATTAAACAATTAGGTAGACTGGATGGTAAGAGTAATAAGACGGAAGAGGAAAAGATCGAGGCAAAAACTTGAATTATACTTCGCACATATAAAAATGTTATTAATATTTATACATAATGATAATTAGTATTACATATAGTGCTACGTGATATTTCAAAACTAATAATTATATTGAATTATTTAATATCATACCTGCATTGAAATAAATAAATGTTAGACGTATAACAAAAATTAATTTTTCACTTCATAGAACGTAAAAGAAAACGTAATGTCATTTAAACTTCAAGTATTTTCACTTCTCACGTTTCCATACTGTATTATCTCTTGAAAGACCAACGAGATACTGCACTTGAGAATGGAAATAAATAAATTCCTCGTACAGAATAAAGAACAGCGTTTATGACTAAGATATATCTATCAAACGTTTCATTTAGTCATTGCGTTTTAACTCGAACAGTATACTTATAAGGACATAAAACGTTTTTCGCTTATAAACTTTACTACATGCCATAATAGATGTGTCCTTCATAGTCACTGTTAGTCGATCATTTAAGCCAGTGATTCTCAACCTTTTATAATTCACGTACCTTCTGGAAATGTGTATGTAAGTGGTATATAAATAGATAAAACTATAGTTATATGTATATAAAATAACAATGGAAATAAAATAAAATATGTTTTATTATTAAAAATATATATATATATGTATATACGTACAAATGAAATTGTGTATTTATAAACTACATATATCGATAAACAAATTATTTGTGTAATGCAATTAGAAATGATATTAAGTTAAAGTAATTATTATGAAAGTATAGTTAAGATGAATGATTTATTATATATGTATAAGATAGTTTTTATTTTTTTTTTTTTACATTAATCGGAAAGATACATTGTACGGAAAGTCCATGGTCACAAAGAGTTGCGAATGTAATCGTTGTATTATTAAACCAAAAAGTTTACCTACGCTCTAGAAATATTCTTGAGAGAAATCTCTTATTTGCATTTATACATAGACGTAATATTACACAAAATAATATGTTTCTATTACATTTATAAATTTTATATTTGTACTTATAGAATAGTAATTAAGTATTCTATTTAAATTAAATTAAATTAAAAATTTTATCTTTTATATAAGTAATATATACATGTATATACATATTATTTTTTCTTTCCTTATTTCTTTTTTATTAATTTCACGTAGTGAGATCGCAAACTTAGGAAGGAATAATTAATAAATAAAATTATTTTATTAACATTTAAACAACGTACGAGATATATGAACTATATAAGTAGCTACCATTTAAACACTATAACATTCTTAGGGACATTACAAAGATAATATGTATATATTATCTTATACTATCGATCAATACATATACTGTAGATTTAAAATTGACCGTGTTGAATATACACCGGTTTAGATTTTAATACGGGAGGCTATAAATGGGTCTTCAGATGCAGCAACCTCTACGTAGCGAGACCTGATTCCGATAGTACTTGCGATATATCGAAATCTTATGGTATAAATAATACCGAGCGAATGGTTGCGTCTGGGTTGCATCTGGGTTGCGTCTAGGTTGCGTCTGGATTGCGTTATTTCAAGAATATCTTTTGAATCTAATTTCAACTCGAATATATCGAACATAAATATACTAATCATTACATTTTACATTGTTAATCATACTTCAATAGATAATTAGATGGGATATGGTAGAATTCTAAAATAATTGCTTAGAGAACTTTTCTATCACACTTATTTCATTATTATTCTCATTTATTTTTATTTACTCCTCTATTATTTATAAGTTTCAGGTACTGCCTTTGGGAGTAGGGTTGGATCCATGGGTGTGAGCCCCTGACCACGTTGCTTTCTCAGCATCATGTAATCTTTGAGAAGGAGGGTCCTTAAGTTTTAACCCTTGGGGTGGGATGTTATAATTTTGTTTGGGTGAAACGATCTTCGGGATGTATACCCCTTGTTCTCAGTTTTATCTATTTCACGCGGGCGCACGTTTCTTTACTTCTTTATTTCTTTTTTCTCTTCTGTTTTTATTCTCTTTTTCTGTTCCAGGTTAGATCATTGAGAGGTGGTTCGTCGGTAGAGTGGATGGTCCACGAGGTTTCGGTACATCACCGTAAGTATCGTCTAGAGGATCGGTTCGTCATTGTGCGATTAAATTTTTCCACGAAAAATTGTGGAACCTCTCCGCGTTATATGCAGAGAGGATGTATCTTTTTTGTTCCATAAGAAAATATGCTCGCGCGTCGGTGGGCACACGCAAGTGTATTCGTGGGCGCGAGATCTACTGAGTGCTTTAATATTTGAAATATCGAAAGCACGATCGGTCGTGTGCGTGTCTGATGCTGATGGTATAAAATGATAGAGCTATCCGTAAGCAGGGTCTTATCCCGAAAGAAAAAAAAATGCTAATTAATTGGACATTAATTAAATGATTTATATATGATATATATATATATATATATATATATATATATATATATATATATATAATACAAAATATAAATAGATATAAAAGTTTCTCTATAATAATTTCATCATAGATTGTATTTCTATTCTCTATAAAGTTCAAATTTAGTCAAGTTCAATTAAAGTCAAGTTATATTAATAACAAATATTAATTATTTTTATCATTTTGTTGTTTCATATATAAGAACCATATGAATCAACCAATCAATTTGTATTGAAAATATCGTTTTAACATACTTTCTTGGGATTGGCTTAACGAGATTTTCAACTGCTTGGACGCGCCAGGTATCTACCAATCCCATTGCAAGGTGCAGACTAGCCAAGTCTAACGTTAAAGGAACGGAAAAATGGAGTCGGGTTAATATACTCTATTAAAATGTACATACTTCTTTTTAATTCCATTAGAAATATACTGTTTTCAACTATACGTCATTTTTTTGTTCTTTATTTTTTATTTTTTTATCACACTATCGCTTTATTAATGCCATCTATAAATACTTATTTTCATAACAGTGAACTTTCAAGGGCACAATAATTCTATTGAATTTTTTTTTTTGTTAAGGTTAAAGAAAAACGTTTCTTTGAATTTAATATCTTCTTATTAATACTGCTATATTTAAGGAAGAAATCTTAATAATTTGATATCATTATTTGTGATACTACAGTGTCGATAGGGATAGAAATATCAAGAGATTTTAGAAGATTTAGTGTTTCTTATATGAAATTAATATTCCCTCACCAAATGTGGAAAATGGTAGTACGTTGTACATAACTACGATATTGGTTAAATATATTATTCCCATTATATTATAAGTATTTCTTATTTGTAGATATGTTTCGGTCTTGGAGTCTATACCGGTTTATATCTAAGTCAGAATTATGAGGTATGATAACAAATAGTATAATATAATTATCTAAAGAATAATAACCAACACAATATAGTAAATTATATATTAAAATTACTAAAAAATATTTTATCCAACACATTGTAGATTCCAAAAGTAGATGATCCAAGTATGATACTGGCGAGATTAAAAGAACTTGCAGAAGATTATAAAAAAAAATGAACTTTATATTATTATATATGTGATAAATGTAACAATATGTAATATTCTTAATTCATAACAATGTAAAAATATATGTACACATAAACTTGCTCTTTTATATTTCTTTTAATTCATGTTTTAATAAATTATTTATTTAGACTAATACATTATTTATTTAAATAAACATTTTGCAATTACAATTTTTTATTTATCAATTAATAAATATATAATATTAGATATATATAAATCCTCCACCAGAATATTCTACTCTTGCTTGTGGTTCTACAAATGCCAGCCAATCAGATGCGTGTGTTGGTAATAAACCCATTGACTGACATTTGTATAATGCTAAAGCGATGTTTACTAATTGTCCAAAAAAGTATACAAATTTTTGACCAAATGCATGTGTTCCTTCTATCACCTTAAATGCTAAAAATATATATATATATGATGTTATTGCACTAAACAGTTATCTTTATAAAATAATTACATACTATAACTTACTTTGTTGAAGTGTGAACAATGCTTTGACAGGTCTTATAATTAACATACCAACCATCATAATAGGAAATATGGAAATAGAATTACCAGCCATATACATTATGAATAAATTCATTGGAACTTGCTTAAGAGGTCCTAAAGCTAAATCCCAAGATTTTTTTATTATTAAATGGTTTGAATCTGTTTCTCTAAGGTATTCCACACTCTGAAATAATGCTACTGTAGGAGTATAGCCTGGAGGAGAAGGTATATCTGTATTTTTCTCCTGTTTATTCCTATAAAAAATTATGAAAGTATCTCATTATTATTATTAAAAAATTAAAACATATAGTAAAGCATCTTAATTTAAAATAAATTTATTATTTTTGAAAATTACAATTTCCAATTCAAATTTAAATTATAGCGATCATTGATATTTGTATCATTATATGGTTGATCATTATTATAAAAATAAAATGAAACTTTAAATTTACATAAAAATAATAATATTTACATTTTTATGAATTGCAAAAATAGGTTACGTACTTGTGAGAAAAATCTAATGCCCATTTCGATTTTTTGAAATTCTGTTTGGTAGTTGCCATTATTTCTTATTATCTTTGTCAAACGTATATATTTTTGTTAAAATAATTTATTAAATTTATAATTAAATAACCTATAATGATAGAACGTAAGATTCAATTGATAACAAATGATTATAAGCTATAGAACAACCATGGTATACGAATACATTGATGGACAACTGATGTATTTATATTAACTGAACTATCATCATGATTACGAATGAATATAATATTAAAATATAGTAACAGAATATATAGTATAAACTTTTACGAATTCGTTGAAACTATAAATAATATTTCAGTATAAAACATTACGGTGCTATACTATTTAATATAAATAAAAATAGAAATAAAGATATGATTGCTTATACAAACTTTCCATTGAGGCAAGATCAGTTTCCATGAACTAAATCTCTCACGAATATTATATTTACATTACAATTTACATTCCACATTTGCATGTTTATATATATCAGTATTAATAAATTATATCACTTTTAGAGAATAAAGATTAAACATATACATATTTATCTATTTAATATTAATGTCATCAATACACACACACACACGTCATTTTTTTTTAAGAAAAATAATAAATCATTATTTATAAATATGCATATATTTTATTTGATTATTTATAATCAGGTAACAAACTTAGATTTGTATAATTTAATCAATATTAATTAAGCATTATTATACGAATGCTAATATTATTATTAACATTATCATTAATCTTTTTTACACTCATTGGACTTTACATCATCACAAAATACCGTAAAAATCGTATAATTCTATATAAAATAAAAATGCTTATCTATAAATGTTTTTCTTGTTATATATATATATAAAGATATATATATATATATATATATATATATATATATATATAAAGATATATATATATATATATATATATATATATATATATATATATAAAGATATATATATATATATATATATATATATATATATATATATATATCTTTACAATTACTGTGTAATAGTTGGATGTTGTGTGTGTGAATTACTATACTAATAAATTATCTATTATTCATCACTTTACTTTACAAGAAGAGGAATAATCAAAATATGAGAACGGATATACAGGAAATTGTCATGATATAAATATGGATTCATTAATAACACTAACTTCAAATGTTTAGTTGGAATATTTTGCATTATTTTATACAATTGTTCACACGATAAATCAGAGAGATCAAAAAATAAATCAGCCTTGATTAAGACCAGGTCCATGTAATTCTATAAAACTTTCCAGGGAACGTGGTACATTACCACAATAAGATAAATTATACGTTTTTACTGCTTTTGCTGCCATACATTTTAGAGACAACTTTGTATGAGTACGTAGTACTATTTCAGCCACACCTGAAGAAAAATTATAAATATTTTCTAATCACACATGTATATGTATGTGTACGTGTGTGTATATATAAAATACCATTAGCCATTAAAATTATTGTCCATGCACAATGTTATTTTGAGAATAACATACCCGTTGCTACGGATTCATATGGAGTCTTCCCATTACTATTTACAATATCTATATGAGCACCAGCCTCTATTAGTTCCATAATTATTGAATAAAGAGTCATAAAATCACTATAACGATATAAATTTATGAATCAATTTTTAAGACAATTGTATGATAAAAAAAGGAGATTTTTCTATCAATATATAGATATATATAATCATACCTAGTTGCTTTTTTATAACAAACAATAATATGAAGTGGAGTATTTCTTTCATCATCCATTGCATTAACATCAGCACCACAACGTACTAATAACTTTGCAGTAGCTGCACATGGAAATCTATAAAATATAATGTTTGAATTATTAAATAATTAATTAATCTGTTTAATCTTATGTAAATTAATGCATAAAAGAGAACTTACTTGCATACATCATTCGTATGAAAATCATCAACTGGTGTTTCAGAATTGACAGCAAGATGTAGAAGTGTTTGACCATCCCTCATTTTAACTTGTAATGCACATAACTTGTGTACCAAATAGTGGGCTTTAGAAACATCTGCTTCATTGTAGTTTTTTTCATTTAATGTCATCAATTTTGTTAAAATTGTTAAAATATATAAAGTTGTTGTAATATTTGATTCTATCTCTTCCTAAATAAAAAACTTCAGATGTACATAAGTACTTTAAATTGATATAGTAAACAAAATAAATTACTTTTGTTATACTTACAATACATTGATCAATACCATCCATAGGATCTGGATTTTGCATTTTACTTTTATTACGTCCCAATTCTGTAACACATGCTTCTAATACATTTATAACTTGAGAAAAATCAAGATCTACTCCAACGTGAATCATTTGAGAGAAAACCTATAAATTATTTATAGACATTTCACACATTTCAGATATTATTTTCAAATAGATCACCATCTTTGTAAATTAACCCACCTGTGCAAATCGAAGAAGATCTTTCACAGCAGATACATTATTTAATTGTCTTAATTTTAATGCATGAAGCCATAAATCAATACATCTATCAAACCTTGCATTATCTGCAAAAACAGCACCTCTAAATATTATAGGATGTGGTAATTCTGGATTGTTACATCCTAAAAAATATTTATTTATCACATTTCGAGTAAAATGAAATATATATATATATTTTTTATACCTAGTATTCTTTCCCGAATTGCAAGAGACTCCATGTGAAGTGCATTGGGATTGTTTTTAATATTTTCTAATTTTTCTAATGTATCACATTCCTTCCAATTTTCATATGCTTTTACTGTTTCACCTAATTCTTTATACACAATATCATTAGGATCACTATATCTATAATTATACAAAAATATAATAAATTAAATATAAAATAAAAAATAAATTAAAACGTCAGATTAAGAAGAGAATAAATATTTCATACCTTAATTTCATTGCTTTGTGCAAATACATATATGCCAATGTTAAGTTATACGAATCTTTATCATTTGCATAAGATGCCCCAAGTAATTCATAAGCATCAATTACTTCCCGTTTTGTTACCTCTGTACGAGCTGCCAAACACTCTACTACAGGTGTACGCGTTCGTTCAGCAGCTGCTATCAAAGGAGTCACACCACTCAAATTTTTTGTTATTTTTGTACCATAACTTAATAATTCAGAAACTATTTGTGTATGACCACACTCTGCTGCAAAATATAATGCTGTTCCACCACAAAGAGCTTTTTCATTAGGATCTGCATTATTTTTCAAGAGAAAATTCACCTGCAACATACATGAGTAATATATAATATATTAGCGTTCATTAATTATTAAAACAGTTTAGATGATACTTTAAAATATACTAACAATATCTAAATGTCCTTTGTATGCTGCAATCATCAAACAGGTATTATTGAATTTATTAGATATGTGTATATTTGCACCATGGTCTATTAAATATTTAACAATATCCAACCGTCCCTCAAAGCATGCAGCTCGAAGAGGAGTAGAATTAGTTTTGGTTGGATGGTTTACATCTGCTCCAGCTTTAACAAGAGTTTTTACAACATTTAAATGACCTGCCCCTGAAAAATAAAATATTTAATAATTAATTTTAGTTAATACATTAGAATGTGTTAATATTTGTGTTAAGATTTTTTGTTAACTAGGAATATTATTCAATAGAAAAAAAGGTTTAGTTATGCTGAAATACATTAATCAAAATTAAATTATTACCATACCTTCTTTAATAAGGTACTATGACTTCATCAATAGAGCCTTTTAGCCAGCGGTTTCAATTAATTACTTACAAAAAGCCATTTGAGTGTTTTGAGGAAGTTTCGTTTGCCATGTTTTCTCCATTTTTATCCTGAAACTGTACAGTAAGCTACACTGGATGAACATAAAAAAAGGACAATAAATAAAACATTTATAAAAAATGCCACGATTTGTTATATTAGTTTTCTTCTGTTTATCAATATGTAAAAGAAAACTTTTTTATATATACATACATGTATTGTAATATTAATAATTTTAAATAAAACATTTTTCTCTTTTAAAGACATATTTATAAAAAAGTATTTATGAAAAATATAGTCACAACATTGTGCAATATCATGTAAATGTGGCATTAATTTATGTTATTATATTTATAACTATAAAATACATATAGTATACTGTACTGTTTCAGTAAGAAATGGAAAAATCAGGGCTGCTATGTGCTTGTTAAATTTTACTCAAATAATTTTTTCAAAAGTTATTTAAACAATTCACAACAGTTAATAGAGAAATAACGTATTTTTTTTTTCATACTCTTGCATTGAAATACTTAGTTGATAATTGATAAAAATTATTAAATTTAATGTTATAGTATTGAATGATTAGTTTTAAAATATAAATTATAATATATTTACAAATTCACTACAATCATTGAAACCTACAATAACATAAATAAAAATTAATTAAATATTTTATGATAGACAATATCATACCTGCGGCACACCAAAGGGCAGTAGCTCCATCAATAACATATCCATCAAATTTGACGATTCCTTCTTGTTCCAGATCAGGCTTAAATTTATCAATTAACATCTTTACAACCCTGTCATGTCCGTAACGTGCTGCAATTATTAAAGATGTACATCTTTGTCCATCTTCCAAAACTTTCTGTAAATATGACATTAAAATATTCATAAAAACTATTATTATATTTTATATATATATATATATATATATATATATATATATATATATACATGTTTAGAATATATAGAACATATTTTATTAATAATTTCATTGTTTCATAAGTAAAAAATATAAAAGTATCAGAATGTTTATAATGTATTTTATAAATATTTATAACTATTATATCGATAAAATATATGAAATATTTACCTGATTAATAAGATAATCAATATGTCCGGGTGGTTTATCACTAAGAAGACCGTACAATACAATTGCCATTCCATCTCGTGCAGCGTAATAAACTCTTTTAATCAATGATGTTGAAAGTTCTGTATCTTCTTGTGCAGTCTCAACAGCACCCATTTTCGTTAATCTATTTGAACTCATAAAATATATTTTTTCAATTACGTAGTAAAAATATCACTCCAGTTTCTAACAACGTAGAGCCGTAACCTCAAAGCTCGTATGTTTGTTTCTGTTTATAAGAATCAACGCACAAGAAATACATGGATTAGTTCTACGGACAACTATTTTAAGAACCGTTACACACAAAAATATATCGATCCTAATGTTATAAAAATAGCGATGACTTGCACTTTTGCGATAGAGAATTGGTTTCTCTTAACAAAGACCTGATTTGTTGCTTATAAAATAGTACTCGTTAGTACTCATATTACACTGAACAATTAAAAACTCACAATACAAAGTTTATACGATTATTAATAATTAATATTCTTATTGGTATTTACTTTTTTTCATAGGTTTATATCCATAATAAATTTGATCAAATAACGTTGGAATATTATTTTGGAGATTCCTTTTTAATATACCCCTATTCGAACTACTACACGCTACACAAACACGTATTGACGCAAGTTAGTCCTCTCTCTTTTTTTTTTATATTGATGAAAATACACAATTGCACATATCTTAATTCCTTTAATATTTCTTTTTAAATTTATTTATCATATATTGCTTTGACATTGTAACGTTCATTTATAAATGTACTATCTTAAGTCATGTAGGTCTACTCAAATCTACGATTGTTACGTATTTTAAGGATAAAATGTCGACGTATATATGTATATGTATTTGATTATATTCATATCTTTTTATTAAATACAATCTTCTTATTGTTTTTATTATGTCCATTACGTTTTTTATGTATGATTAAATAAAAAATAAATAAATAAATAAATTAATAGAATTTATGACACAGATAGATAAAATATTGATATTATTATTATTATTGATTAAGAGACAAAAAATCAAAATTGACTAAATAATCGTGACTCCATAAATTTGAAATTAATCTTTTTAATTTTTTTTTCTATTAATAAATATTATCACATGTGAAATAATTGGGATATAGGAGTGAGAGATTGAGGTTACAAAGTTTTTAATATTATCATATAAAAATATATAAAAGTAAGGAAAATTAAATAATAATATAATTTTAATAAATTTAATATTATCCGTATATTTTTAGAGTACGAAAGGTATTAGTAATACAATCATGCTATAAAACTATTTAAGAATGTTTATTTTTAATATACCATGAAATTAGCATGTATAATACACATATATTAAATTCATTAATAGAGCTGCACAATTAATATGTATTGAATTAATATGTAATATAGCTATTTCCTATATTACGAAAGAGGATTCTATAAAAATCACAAATATATTTGACAATATAATTTACAATCCAACTTAATAAAGCACTGGTATCGATATAGCACTTCGATATGAAATCAAGTGTGTAGAACTAATAGTAATTTATATATCTAGTATGAATTTCGAAAAGAAAATTGCATTCATGTATACAATACTCCATTCTAGCAAGAATCTTATATTGTAGGAACACTTACGGCCAATAAATGTACATAATTACAAATTATGGACGTACATTATTACATATACCCATAATCAATTAATTTGATAAATAAATCAATAATTAAAATTGACTGATAAAATTTTGACTACTTTGCTAGTCAAATTTTAGTAAATTTTTTTATGGCCAAAATAAAATTATTTGAAAATTTACAAATACATTACTATGTAAAACGAAGAGAAATATCATTACTTAAAAAAAAAAAAAACATTTATAGAGAATTTTATCAGAACATTTGGTTTCTTTATGAATATCTATTAAGTAAATATTTCATTTATTCATATTTTTTTCTTTTTTTCTTCTTTTTGTTTCTTTTTTTAAATAACATGTGCATTGTAATTATTGTAAGAGATTATACTAATACATAAAAAGTAAAATACAATTGAACATATTATGAAAGCTTTACGTGATTGTTAGATTACTTATAATTTGAAACTGAAGATCTGATCATCAGGAATTAGTACTAAATGATAAACTATGATCGTTCAAATTAATTTCTTTGTACATATTTTGATGTATGTTTAACATGTCATTTTAAAAATAGATAATTTCTTAATGTGTTCTATTCATACAGCACATAAGAAATGATGATCATGTTAAATGCATCATCATATACTTGATATTTTAATTTATGATTAACAAGTCTATGAAAATGCATTTTAATAAGTTTAATACGTTAATGTTATACTACAGCGATAAATCTAACTAGCTACCTGGCTCAAGAAATAACACAACTTGATTTTTCTTGTACATTTCCATCAGCCTTTTCAATTTCAATCAATAATGTGTGAAAAATATCAGCAACAGACTAAAAAATAATAAATAAATTATAAGTAAAAATACTTATAATTTATATTAAAATATGTTTCAATAATTATTACATTAAACAAATATACCTCATTTTGTTTTGCACTGGTTTCTAAAAATGCTGCATGCCAAGCGTCTGCTAACTGTTTACCTTGTGCAGTTGTTATCATTCTGTCTACATACAAATCAGTTTTATTGCCAACCAATACAATTGGAACACTAAAATTATTATGTTATTATTATTATTATTATCATTTATACCAAAATATTGTTATCATTACTTATATAAAAACATCAACATACTGGACTTTTCCTGTAATATCAAGTAGCTTATCATAAATAATTTGTACAACTTCAAAACTTTTTGCACTAGTTATACTATAAACCAAAACATAACCATGGATATCCATTGAATATTGAGTTGGAAATATGCTATATTCATCTTGACCTGCAGTATCCACTAGTTTAACCTCATAATCTTGACTATTTACTCGTGTACTTTTGGTAAATGCTGTAACATACAAATATCTAATTTTATAAATAAACAAAATATATACTATGATAAACAAGAATATGCCTTGTATAAAGAATATAAGAACATCAAAATTTAATAATGTCACTTTGAATAATGCTGAAATAAAGCATAAAAGTAGTATATATAAAAGACACATACGACATATGCACGCAACACACGTTAACAATGCATAAGGTAAATTGAAAATAAGACAAAACATAATAAAAAGATACTTCTTACTGTTTTCTATCGTAGGGTCATATGAATCCACAAATTGTCCCTCGACAAATTGTATGCTTAGTGATGATTTTCCTGTAAGAACAAAATGATTATTGCATTAATTATATTAATTTAGAAAATATTAAGAAATAAGATTTGAAATAATATATTAGAAATTATCAAAATTATCTATATATTTATATACAATTAATTGGCACATTGATATAATTAATTGATTTTTTTTAAAGAATATTCTTTTTCTTTCTCTTACCTACTGATCTATATCCCATAATAGCTATTTTCCTCTGTTTTGGTGGCATTCTTTAGCATTCATAAACAGAAAAATGTTATATATACTTCGTAAAAAAAAGTGCATACTCCAGTTAAAATCTGAAATCATAATATAAAATCTTCATATAAAAGTATATGTTTTTAGATTTAAGCGATGGGTTGCTAATTCTGCATAATCTCTTACTTTCATATGTCTAGAGATATTTAGTACATTTTCCATACTTTTAAATCCTGCACTTTTCACCTAAGATTGATGAAATATAAACAATATAAAGTTGTTAAGTAAAGTGACGAAGTAATTTTAGTATTTATAATATTAAATCTCTTCTCTATTTCATTTTTTTTTTTTCAAATTATTTGCTTAATTCTTACATAACTTTTTAATTATAATCATTAATGTACGCGTCACAATACAAACATATATAAATTTTGTTGAAATATTTTATCTTTGTAAAATTATAAAGACAAGAACAATAGTAAACTTTATATTAAATTTTTTATAAATATTGGTTAATATATTTTCAATATTAGAGCAATTTAATAAAATATTCCTTTTTTTATTCTCATGATTTCTATATTCTTGTAAACAATAAGAGAATATATATATATATAATATATAATATATATATATATATATATATATATATATATATATATATATATATATATATATGTATATATATATATAATTAAAAGATAAAAATATACAATCTTTTTATATGGGATAACAATGTGATAGAAATTAAAGATTGTGAATGCATGCGTGAAAATAATATCGATTTATTATTTTGCTTGATGAAATAATTATTTCAAGGATAACATAAACATGAACGAAATGTATATAAATCTCTCTATATATTGAATATCGTTTATAAAAAAAAACGTACTTAAGTTTTTAATATTCCCATACAACCTCCTATCTTCATAAATTTATGATTTGCACAGCTTATCCTATAATGAAAAAGAAACTGCACATATTAAAGCACAAACACAATAAACAATATTACTTCTCTTATTTAGTTTACTACTACGCATAGTTTAATATAGTACTCAACGCGAAAGAAAGATTGAATAAAGTAAGCTTTACACTTGTCGACAAGTTATACACCTAAAGGCTTCGCCATGTTTTTGATACGTTAAATTTGTATATAGACTCTTAAATACCAATAGGAATGTAATGTTAAAGAGCACTCTGTTGATAGAGCAATGATAATGGTGAAAACTCAAGGCTACAAAAGTAAGAACCAATCACAAGTTTCATAACATAAGGAAATTAAATTAAACAATAAAAATACAAGTTTTATTTACAACAGATTTAATTGGACATACGATAATAAAATGTATATTAAATATAATAAATTGTATTAATTTGTGGTTTAAAGAATAAACTATTTTACTATATGAGTAAACAATATTCATATTTTTAATGTACAAATTTTTATTGTTACAAATGTTTAACAACAAAATTTTTACAATTATTTGTGAAAAATTTTAATAACAAATAATGAGGAAATATTTATTCAATAAATATTTATTCCTCTATTTTGGTGGCATTCTTTAGCATTCATAAGTAGAAAAATGTTATATATACTTCGTAAAAAAAAGTGCATACTCCAGGTAAAATCTGAAATCATAATATAAATTCTTGATATAAAAGTATATGTCTTTAGATTTAAGTGACGGGTTGCTTAAATAAATATTTATTCAATAATTATTATTCCATGAATTCAATAAAACTTATTTGAAAAAATTATTTATTGTATCAAATATTAACTTTTAGTTAACGTCCTTCAACTTTCAGCAAGCAGTGGGTAAAAGTAAAAATCTTTAAAAAGTAAAATATCTAAATTACGTAATGTCAATTATCGTGTTTCATTATGAGATGGTTGTTGTATATGGAAATGTGCAGATACATATATTAATAGAAATAAAAAATATTATATAGTAAGAATTCTTGATATAGCAAAGCGTATAGACTTATAATAAAATAACAATAAATCACATCAAGTTGTATAAAACAATAGATACAGCCCGTTAAAATTAATATCTACATTTTTATTAATTAAAATTTAATTAAAATTTCTTAAAGATAAACTTATTTTTACACTTACTTTTCGTACATTGCGTACGAAAAGCGCAGTAGGAGAAAGTACATGACAATTACTGTCGAATGTGTCCAAATCAATAAATTAGTTGAATAGAAAGAATAAAAATCAAAAATTCAAAAAAATATGTATATTATGTGTATATTTCATGTGTATATATATATATATATATATATATATATATATATATATATATATATATATATATATATATATAATGCGTACACGTGATCTGCGATTCAATATACAGTTCATTAGAAGTAATATCTAACTTTTTATACATTACTTGAAATTTAATTAAATTTTCTTAAAAATAAACTTACTTCTATATACTCTATAAAAAAAATAGCAGAAAGTACATGATAGTTGTTATCGAATGAACCTAAATTAAATAAAAAGCGGACAAAATTCAAGAATATTATTAGTATAGAATAAAATTAAGTTTATTAATGTATGAAATATATGTACATATGATGATATACACCTATAATCCATATATATGATGCATTTATGCTATATATATTAAAGTCTGATATGAAATATGTACAATGAGATTGATAAACCACAAATGATTAAATCAATTTTATAAAATATCATATATAATGTAAATGAGAAGCTACTTAATAAAAACTGGAATTAATGAAGCAAAAAAGTCTGAAAGGTTTCAATCAGGCTTTTTATCATACTTTTATCTTCTTCAATAATCTATTCTCCGAATAGAGTGTAAATACACACACATGACATATAAACGCATATATATATATATATAGAATTTTATCACGGTCAACTTCTTCTTGATTTGGCTATTTGTCGAAGAAAGGAAATTCTTGAGAAACTTTTTATTCCCGATCTTGATATAACTCGTTAACAATGTTGAATGGAAATTATTTATTTGGGAGTCGATTGGAAGATGCTCTACATCAGAAAATATAGTCTAATTATCTATAATTAATCTGGCAATAAAGTTTTGGTATTACGAACTCTAAGAGCACAAATGAATTCAAAAGAGTCTTAATTGATAGTGTCGAAATGAGCGGACACTTTGGACATGCATGCGCAATATGTCACCTTGCGTATATGACACAATTATATGTATATATATATATCAATCAATTCATTAATTTTGATTTATAATTAAAATGTAGTACTCCACTTAAAACTTAAGAGTCACAAAACCATTGGAAGTTTTATTAATCGATAGTATGAAATTAGATAGGTATTTTCTCATTTGCCACTTCAAATAGATTTTTACCCAACACACACACTTTTTATCGCATTCATAATGTGAATCAAGATTATATAAGAAATAATTATATAAAAATAAAATAGTAAATAAATAATATTTTTATCTTTATAAAAATTTCAAGATACGTTTAACCGTTTAATTAATATCATAAATATCATTATTTCAATTGTTATTGTTCTTTGTCTAATTTTACTTTAATATTACATCTATTTCGATTTATAGGTATCCATACAATCAGTATACTTCTGTAAACATGTCCTTATCGCGATTACTTTTATTTTTAAATGATAGATACAACGTGATTCTAATCATTTGCTTTCCTTTATTTATTTTAATATAGCTTACAAGTTTTACAGTTATATCTTTTGAATGTTATCCTTTTTTTATTATTATTAAACATACAGAAGATGTGTAGTATAAATTTATAATTAGAGATCGTGTGATTTGAATAATACGCTTTTTAATATAATATAAGTCCCAGAAATAAACGTTACAGATTGCTTTAACTATTTTTATTCAATAGGTTTTCAGTTGCTGATCGCGCGCAATGCAATCTTAGATGTCAGTGTTTGTGCGAAATAGTTTAATTGTTTAGCAATCGAATAGATTAAAAAAAAATAATATTAAATCGCGAAGTAGAATCAGTGTTGTTCGCCGATTAGAATTTCTCGGTCGTTTTAATAAATCAATAAATAAGAATTTATGTTATATTCTTGTTAAAATCATTTCTTTGCCGCGTTGTTAGAATCATTAACACATTTCTGGTCAATTCACGATTTCGTAGTGATAAATATTGTAATGGTTGAAAGTGTGAATTTAAAAATTCTTCCTCTTCATCTTAATCAATGAATTATTCTATCCATCATCCAAAGGGATGATACGATTGTTATTGAGCCATCGCAGAACTTCTTAAGTAGTAAGCGCAAAATTTAAAGTTCCTTCGGCGCCTATTATGCCGAGGATGAAAGGTCCATATCGGCACAAGTTAATAGTTTCATTCGCAGATATATTTTGTTCAAAACTAACAAAAGTGATCATAAATAAGACCTTTGGTATTACAGCCCGTTTAGGCCTAGTTTATAAGTTAATTATTTTTAGCTTAGAATTTTTAGTGCTTATTATACTAATATCCGTTTCTTTCCCCATGCTTTCCTCCCATGTCAAGTGTTACTCGTGTTGGTGAGAAACAGTGTGGGTTTACTTTTGATTTAAGTTTTTTTTTTTATTTTTCGTTTCTAAATGAAGATGTAGATAGATTATTTTATTATTTAATGTATTTATTATTATATTTGTTTTAAAATTATATACATAAAGTTTCAGATAGGGGCCGTATACATATATACATCGATACAAAGAATTGAGAGAAGAAATAGAGTTTTCTTATTTTGTTTTAGTTTATTCTTTTTGCAATGAAGTTATACATAATATTGAATGAACAGCTTTTTAGCACAATCACTGATTGTATATTGAGTTTAGAAACATTCTGTATATTTCTTTTTTTGATGAAGGTAAAAATAAAAATGGTTAAAGAAAATTTTGTCCATGATATAGAAAAAGTTAATTTTTAGAAATAGTGGTATTATTTTTACAAATGGAACTCAATATCTTCTTTTTTGTTTTTTTTTCTTTTTTACAAACAGAAACATATTTTTCTTATAAGTGTACTTTTAAGATCGTGTATTCAAGATATTGATATAAGAAATATATGTCTTTAATTAGAATTATAATCTTTATTTTACAAGAAATTTCGAAATGTTAATTATTATTTATTGCAAATAATGTTTCAATAAATCTATAATACGATCGTTCAGTAACTCTTTTACATTTCTGGCGGTTATGAAATCTATGTGATTAAAATGATCATATGGTACAACTTCAAATAAATGAATATTTGGTAACTTCTTGTACAGTTCGACCAAAAACTACAAAATAATAAGTAAAGATTTATTATTATAAAAAAAAGTGTGTTAAATATACACTAAAATAAAATTAAGAATAACCTTATTTGGTACAAGTATATCATTTTTTCCGTATATCAAGGCCACTGGTGCTGATATTCTTGTTAAGTCGTATTCGAGTGGTACTTTTTGTTTATATAATTTCATATTATATTCATATCCATAGTCATAACTTTGAAACTTTTCTAAAAAACATAATAATAACATAATTATAAAATAAACATAATCATTTTAATTAAAAGTAATGATGACGGAAATGTGCATTAAAGTCGAATTAATGCATATCGTTATATTGAAGTATAGATACTGTACATAGATTACAAGATAATTTTACCTGCTATGATATTTTGAATGTAATGATAATAAATATTGAAAGAACCACCTGATGGATAATAGCTAAGAAATCTATATATTTCTGACTGTGCGTGCGTGCGTGTGTTGTGTATGTGTACATATATAAAAGAAAATAAATCAATTAGTTGTGTTTCATAATTATTATCAAATATTCAAATTATATTTGACTTACGGGTTTATTTTGGAAAGGATCTGATCCAATCAATGCAAAAATTATTGGAGTACATAAAGATTGCAAAATAAATTTATAAGAACAAGCTGCTGTCAATGATTTACTTATAATTGATTTAGGTATTATACCATAAATTTCTCCTGATTCTAATAAAAACTGAAAAAAAAATTAATTAATTAACACATTGACTGCCACGTCACCCATATTCGGGTGACAGTAGAATTTCTGATTGAGCCTTGTCACCCGTATTATGGTCACGCTTCTTTGACTACTTGCGAAAGATATTCGTATGTGTTTGAAAAGATATTTCGCAGAGGAACTAACAAAATTATTGAATATTAATTAATATAAACTATATTTATTAATATAAACATAAATTTATAATGAATATTCATTAATATAAACTATTGTTATAAAAGTAATACGAAAATGGTATATTAAGAAAATTATGTAGAATGTAAAACTTTAAAACATTCTATACAAATCTGAGGTTGGTCGGGACAACTTGGACAATAAGTTGTTGTTTTATTTAAATTCTAAAATAAAAAAATTTTAAATAAAAAAAAATTAAAAGAAATTTTTTCTTTTTTTATAAAAAAATTTTTTAATAAAGTTTTTTTTAAATTTTTATTATTTTTCACGGTACGCGTGGCCTGAAGGAAATTCACGTCAACGCGCGTGGCAGTCATCGTGTTAATTAAATAAGTAAAATAATTTTTTTTTGAATTTATTTGGAAAATATATTGTTTTTATATAAAGAAAAAAGAAAAAAAAAGAGAAATTGTTAAAAAAAAGAATGTGTCAACTTTATTTATAATATGTAATATTTTGTGTATTATATTTTATTTATCTCTTTTACCTTGGGTATTGAACTGTATGTTATTATAAATTTCAATAGTGGAGACATAATTTCTTTCTTCCAGTATGCAGTAGGTGCCAAACTTATAACTAAACGTATTTTTTCATTATAATCTGGCTTCATTGATAATAAAACATATGATAACGTTGTGCCCATCGAGTGTCCAATAAAATAAAGTTTTTCCGATTTTGTATAATTAAGAATATAATCGATAATTGCTGGAACATCGTAAATTGCAATTTCGTGATAACTGTAAAAAAATGTTTAATTTTTTTTTTTTTTATTATTGAACAAGAAAAAATTTGCTTAAAGACGAAAGATTAATTGTATTTTTTCTTTTTTTATAAATTTATTTTGTTATTCATTATCATTTATCATAATCATAGGATTTACCTAAATTGCATAAATTCTTTATCCTTCGATGAAAATTTTACATGAGTTTGACCGTATACATTTCCTCGAGCATTTCCCAGCCATACATCAAATCCAGCATCCGCAAGTGAACACGCTATTACAATAAATATTTATATTATACAATGAATATTGATGATTAGTGACTTAAATAACATTCCTATAACAAGACTCATTTGTATCGTCTTATGAAATATTACAAAGTAATACTAATTAATCAAATGCGTTTTATGTTATATTGAAATCATTTTCTCATAATATCATATTGTAGAGTTGTGTGTGTGCGCGTGCGTGCCTGTGTAAATATCATTATTATTGAAAATATTTACGAAGACTTCTTTTAGAGCCATATAAAATCCAATAATCGGATGAAGCAAATGCACCGGGTTGCATCAATATTATTGGTCTTATTTTATAGGTAATATTTGATACGGGACTATAAGGTATTCTATGAAACAATATAGTATAGCCATCTTCTGTAACAACCGTATGTTCTTCCGCAAAATATCCATTCTGTTTAGCTAATTCTATCTGAAATTAATTGATTTGTCACTTATTCCTTTATATGTTGTAATACATATAAATTGAAAAAGAAGATATAACATATTATTATAAAAATAAGTGATTTACTTACAAAATCTGAAGTAACATTATTTAAAGATGGATTTTGTAAAAAAAAAGATTTTTGAAATATTGAAAATGGTTTAATTTTGAGTCCGAAAAACATTGATAAAATTATTACTATCCACGTTGACGATTTCATTCTTTTTTTTTTTTTATTTATATTGATTTATACAACTTTTAAACCTGTAAGCAATTATATATAGTATATAATATTATATATAGTTTTGTAAGCGTTTTAGATCGTATTTTTAATTGTTTTAATATACATAAACTACTATCTGAGATTACGCTAAAATACTAAGATAAGGTGTACATGTGTAACGTAAATAGAAACACTACAAAAGTATACAAGGATTGTAAAAAACTTTAAAAAGCGTCTTAATATTTGTATTACATGAGAAAAAATTAATCGTACCATAAATTATGCTACGATAAATTGTTTCGTAAAAAGAATCCGTCGTTGAAAATTTCACATAATGAATAAATATAACATAAATAGGGGGTTTAAAAAAATAAGAGAAAGCACTTTTTATTGTATATGGTGGATTAATTTCGAAACAGGACAGCGATATAACCAGTGATGAATGACAAAGATAGCAGATCAGAAAGACTATGTACTTACAAAAATAATATGTGTTTTCATTAAACAGTCCAGATATAAAATACCACAAACAACACAAAACTTAATTGACGAGATAGAATGCCAGAGCAATCCTTTTAATACCCGCTGTGGATCCTTAATATATGGGAAGAGAGATTTGTTTCAATTAATAACTAAATCTCATTGGTTCTAATTTTCCCTCTCCCTGCGTCCTCGTTAATTTTCTTGGTGAGGTGTTTGGATGATTAGTACATGGGATTTAATAGATTATTAATTAGATTTTTTATTATTATTTTATAATTGGCTCTTGTTTTATAATTTACTCTGCATTGCAAATTAACCAGTTTAACAGGTCAAACAGGATACATTTATGAGAATATATATATATATATATATATGTACATATTATGTATATATATATATATATATATATATATATATATATATAAGTATATATACTTGTCATTCGTTAATAATATATAATTATATATATATAATTAATTTAATGGCCCTTTATCGTGTATATATATGACTTATAATATATATGATGTATAAATAATTTACATCGTTTTTGTTGTTTTTTTTAATTTTTTTCGTTTTGTTTGAATTTTATATGTAAGCAAATCGTTAAAATTGTTTCATTAAATCTAACAATCGATCATATAATAGTGCTTTTACGTCATTCGCTATAACAAAATCCAAATGAGAAAAGCACTCGTACGGCACAGCTTCGCACGTGACGACATTAGATAATTTTTTGCTCAATTCAATTGCATCCTAGATAAAATTGGATAGATAAATAAATGTTTCTAGATAATCTGTCTAATTCTTTTAAGAAAGTATAACAAAATTTAACTTACTTTGTCATTCGTTAATACATCATTAATTCCATAAAATAAAGCTAATGGAGCAATTATTTTCTTTATGTCATAAACCGGAGGATTTACTTTTTTATAGTGAATAAGATTACCTTCGTACCCATAATCATAAGCTTCGAAATTACCTTACAATAAATACGATAAGATATATATATATATAAATATTTTATTTATTGTCAAATTTAAAAAGGATATTGTAATAATAATAATAATAACAATTATTATAAAAAGAAAAACAAAAAATGCACCTGTTAGATAATTTTGATAATAGTGGAATAGACTTTGAGTTGATACACCAGCAGGTATATAATTTAAAAAGTATGGTATCAGTGACTGTAAATAAGATATTTATGTAAATTTAATGAACGATCACATTTCGTTGCAAATATGTTATATTATGTATAAAGATATAAAAAATATCTATGCAAATATGTTGTATCATGTATAAAGATATAAGAAATATCTATGCAAATATGTTATATTATGTATAAAAATATAAAAAATATCTATTAACTTACGCACATGTTTGCGTGCGTGTGTATCTTTGAATACATTATTAGCTTACGGTATTTGTTTGCATAGTATCGCGTCCTGAAACTAGATACAATACTGACGCACATATTGAGTGGAAAATCGATTTTTCGTTACATAATTTGGCACCCAATAATTTCATCATTTTTGATTGTGATAAGATGTCATAAATCCCCTCTGCTTCTAATATTCTCTGAAAAAGATTTTTTATTTACACAAACAATAATACATATACACACACGTACGTATATAAATAATTATTATATGTTAACAAAATATATGCATCTGTGCAATTAATATTTACCTTTATTTTTGGAACGTCTTTTATGATACGTTCTATGCCTGGTGGAAATTTATGTTTAAAGTAAGAAACTGGTGCTAAGCTTATAACTAATCTCATTTTATCATTATAACTCGGTTTCATGGACAACATAACGTAGGAAACCGATGTACCCATAGAATGTCCTATGTAAAATAATTTCTTCGATTCTGTATAATTAAGAACATAGTCGATGTATTGAGGAGTATCATGTAAGCCAATATCGTGATAGCTGTTGAACGGAAATAATTACATACATATACATATATATTAAAGAAATATATATTAAATATATAAAAAATATATAAAATTTGTATATCTACACGAGTATATAAATATATTGTATGCACAAAAATTAAAAAATTAAAAAAATACGATACAAATTTTATCACATACAAAGAATTATTATTGTTTGATTGTAATGAAATAATATAAAATCGTTAAAAAGATTGTCGATAGTTTTTAGTACTATACAGAAGATGATGCTCGATAGAAATATATTAAATATTTTATTCCTTCGAAATAAAGAGGTAGATATTTCAAATAATTAAAATGGTCTTTTTAAGACTTACAAAATTTTTACCTAAATGATATCGACTAATGCTTATTTTGTTTTTACCTGAATTCCCAAAATTTTCGATCGTTTGTCGTCAAATTGACATGAGATCTGCAATAAGTATTTCCCCGGAAATTTCCAAGCCAGACGTCATATCCAGTATCAGCAAGTAAAAAAGCTATATGTATATAAGTATGAGTAATTTATTAATTAATTAATTATTATTATTATTATTATTATTATTATTATTATTATTATTATTATTATTATTATTATTATTATTATTATTATTATTATTTATATATTTGAATATATTAATATATTTAAATTATATTATAATATTTATTATAATTATTATTTAATACATTATTAAGATAAAATATGTATGTACTTAAGATCTAATCTAATCACTTACGGAGATTTTTCTTAGGCTCAAGTAATACCCACGAATCAGATGATGCTGTCATACCGTGTTGTACAAATACGACATCCTTCTTTTTATTTATGTCTGATAAAGGACTATTAGGTATTCTATGCATTGTCAGTATGTAACCATCGTCCGTAGTTACTTTGTGCTCCTCGGCCGGGTATCCATGACGTTGAACTAATCCAATCTAAAATTAGATATAATTTTATATGTATTTGTTTTGAGTATTATCAAGAAATAATAATTTAGTGCAAAACAAAATTATAGCTATGTGTGTGCGTATACATGTGCGTGTGCGTGTAGAATCATTTAATAAATTACAAAGTAGCAAATTATTTTATTACTATAAGTATTATTGGAACTAAACAGTTTATTGTTACAGTTTATTATTAATATATTTATGAATCAAATCAATATAACGTTATATCAAAATATTTCAATAGTTTAATTTAACAAAAAACTAAATTTTATATATATATATATATTTATTTTATTTTATTATAAGATATAATTGAGATAAAATATATTTGATAAAAAAGAACAAAAATAATACTCACGAAATCTAAAACAGTATCATCGCCATTAAGTTCTGATTCGCTTCTTACTTTCTTCAATTCATTTTTATTCGAAGAAAGAATATATTTTAACAAAGAAAAAGATGAAGTTCTTCCCAAACAACAATCGAATAATAATAGTATCGTTAAAAGAATTAATTTCATTATTCAATTCGTTATATATGAAAAATATAGATATATATCAATCTCCGTTGTATCTTCCGAGAGGAAAGTTGCATCTTCTATTTAAGACATGCACGATCGATTCTGGTTTATATATCTCCCGTTGGTACAATCAAGTGATAATTACTACTTTGTTTTCTTTGATTTGTTAGAACTATTCATTTTGAATCATTTAATATCATTTAGAACAAAGATTCCAGAATTGTTTGTGATCATGAAACCGACTTTGAAAATCTCCGCAATTCTATATTTTTTTATTATTTATTTTAATATTTATTTTACATATGTTAACATATTTTTAATATATTTTGTATTAATTATTTACATACACACATATAAATGTGTATATTAATATGCATATATATATATATATATATATATATATATATATTATTATATATATATATATATATATATATATATATATATATATATATATATATATATAATAAACAATATGTATAATAAACAATAAATAATATTGCCACAAATGAAGAATATTAAAAGAAAATTTTTTCCGTTTTTGAAAAAAGGAAAATTATTTTATTTTCTAATATTTTTTATTTTTTCAAATTTTCTGTAAATATTCGAACAATTTTTATTCTTTCAAATATGAATATTCAAGCAACTTATAATTTACTTATAACTATATGCATATGCATAAGTATCAACATATTGACTATTGTTTCATAACACATTTGTAGCGTGTAGTATAATTTCATGGTATATAAGAAGTTCCTGTTTGATCATATACTAATAAAGATGTTATTGTATGTTTTATAAACAACATCATCTCTCTCTCAAACTATAACTAATAGTTTGTAATGATATATTATTGAACATCGTCTAGAATTTTCTATTATTATTTATATAAGTAAAATGTTGCTAAATGCTCATAATTACTACTTTCGACATATACTCTTATCGTAGTAAATAATAAATAATTTCACATATTTCATTTAACCTGCATAATATTCCAAAGTTTCATCAAAAACATCTTTCATAAATAAGTTGTAAGTATCCTCTTGCAATTGTATCGCTGTCTGTAATAAAGAATATATTTATGTATATATACTTAATTTGTTAATATAATTAAATTATATTCGTTTTAACTATATATAATATAAATAATAATATTATAATATATATTTATATATTTATTAATATTATATTTTTAAATATATAATACATATATATATATAATAAATTTATATAAATATAATATATATAATCGATACATGTATAATATATATATACCTTTAACGAATTTTTTTCCATTTTATCTGATTCATATATTTCGCAGAGTTCTTCATATTCAGATAATTTATCATCCATATCTGTGTCGAATCTATTAATCAAACTCAATAATTGGGCTTCGGTTTTCAATCTATAAAAATCAAATATACACGTATTTTAACTAATTAATAAGAATACAAATATAAATATTTTAAATTTCAAATAATATAAATTAAACCATATTCATTCTTAATAGATATCTAGAATTGAAATAAATTACCTTTTGTTATTAATATCTGACGTCGTTTTGAGATTAGCAGTTTTTATCATTGCAAACTCCTCCTTCATTTGATTTAATTTATTATGTAATTCGTCTCGTTTTGTTTCCGAATTTTTATAAAGCAAATATTGTTTTTTTTCGTATTTATTACTGAAAAGAATAAAAATCACTTAATTGTAAATTCATATAATCGTTATGAAATTTTATTGCATATTTACCCGACACTTTGTAAATCTTCTAGACATATTTCATTCAATTTATCGATAATTATTGTATCAGTTTTATATTGTGTCATAGTACTTTCCATTTCCTTTTCTTTGTTTTCTCTCTGAGTTTTTAAATGTGCAGTAAGTTCTAATAATATGAGAAAAAATTTTGTTTAATATTTTTTTTTATACAAAAAAATTTTTTATATAGGTATAATATTTTGTTTATATACAAATATTTTATATATATATATATATATATATATATATATATATTTCTATATTTTTTATATAACAGAAATGTTTCAATATCTTTTTATATAAAAATATTATATAAACAAATTATTGTTATATAAAAAAAAAATATTATTTTTTACTAAATATAGAAAAATGTAATAAAAATACATTGCAATATATTAATTACTTTTTGTTTCTTCAACAGCATTTTTATCACGCAACCAAACATTTCGGTAATGCATATTTTTAATCATTTCTTCTTCTGGTGTTAATTGCATTATTGATATGATATATTCCATAAAATAATATATATAATGTTTAAAAAGCAATAATTGCGCTGAAATGTTCATCTGACATGAGGCAGCCGCTTTACGAATACTGGGATAACTATATAGTATCTAATTAAAAAACAATTTTTTATTTTATAAACGATATCTCTAGGCATATTTCATTTTTATTTATTTTTTTTTATTTTATTATTAATTAAATAAAAAATACGTTAAGCATTTTGTAAACCATAGGATCCGTAATATTTTTATCTGTAATATCTTCTTCTAATGTATTTGTCGATGATTCGTGCAAAGTTCGTGAAATTCTTGATTCACCTAAAAGATATTAATTTTTTAAAAATAATACAAAAATAATTACATAAAAATAAAAATATCTGTATTTTTGATATTTACACTACTGCATTTTTGTAAATAATTTTGATATAAAAAAAATACTTTTTAATTACATAAATGTGGTTTATGTGCCGATTGCGTTTCATCAATAGAAAATACAATATTATTTACCAACTCCATTTCTTCTTTGGTAAGAAGTGATTGTAATGTTGAATTTTTAATTAATAAAGGTATTGTAATCTATAATTATGTATAATTATTGTTATAATAAAAAAATATATAAAATATTATAACTATTTAATATTAATCTTATTTATTAAACATTGTTAAATTTAATATGAATTAATTATTATTTAATATTATTTACTACTAATTGAAATTTATCCATGGTCTCATAAAAAATTTGCATAATATAGTTCAAGATAGAATCTAAACCATTTTTCTTCAGCTGTTTTTTAAATTGTGACATCGTATCATTAATTGTACCATTCTTCTTTTACGATTTTTCACATTTATTATTTACGTTTGCATTTACAGTGATATGACAGTAAAATTTATTTTAATGGAATAAGTTAATGTGAAAATTAACATCACACGTATTGTTTAAAATATGCTACGAAACATTTGAATTAAATTTGTCATTAGTGGACGAAGTGACATCTACGATAAGACATTTCTGAAATATTGCTTTATCATTGGTTGTCGTTAAACAATATTAATCAGGCTTTATTATAAATGAAGTTTTGCTTACAAAATATCTTTTACTAGTAAATAATTTAATAATTAATATAATAATATAAAAAATCATTTATAATGAGTAAACATTGAAAATAAAAAATATTTTTATAAAGTACGAATATACAAGTGAGATACTATTGGCTAGTATTGACCAATCACGACGAACCTTTAAGCAATGTAAGGTTATCTATATAGATGGCAGTTTAAAATAGAAATCAAGCTTGAAATCTTTTATGTACTACTGTGATTACATGTATTATACGGATCTGTCTTGACTAAATGATCCCAACGAAAACAATCTAAGAAAATTAATCGTATAGTGATTTAAAAGCAATTATTGATGTATTTATATAGGGATTTCCTATTATTATAAAAAAAGTATCTTATAATGTTAAAGCGTTTGTATATATCGATAATAGCAGTGTATTGAACTTTGAAGCTTCGAGCGCGTTATGCACACTCGGTAATAAATGTGATTATCGTGTAACTCGTAATCATGAAACGTCCAATTTATATTTCGAATCTTGAGCTTCGCATTTATAACGGTTTCGTGTACTTCATTGAACTAGTCATATAACGATTTCTTTTGACAAATAACATTTGTAAATCGTTCATTTGTATAAATTTTTCAAAGTGGCTCATGTTGCGAGCGTTCACAGTTGGGGCGAAATTGGTTTAAAAGCAGAACTCACAATGGTGATACGGTAACTAATCTTGACATTTTATATGTACATATCATATTGATAAGATTTCGTTACTTTTATATCTTGAAAATTAATATGAGATACTATTAAAATTGTTTTCTTTCTGTTACAAAACACATGAGAAATAATGTAATATATTTTTCAATAATATTTTTTTATTTTTTCAACAATAAATATATATTATTTTATATATCATATGTGTATAATTTTATTAGAAGTATGTGAATTTAAATTTTACCCATTTTTAATTAATATAAAGAAAAGAAATATATTGTTAATAATAAGAAACTATATACACAATGCGAGTAAAATGATAATTAAATAATTTAATTATTTCATTTATACTAATGCAAAATTTACGTTTATTCAGTTCTACTTTCTTTTCGGTTTGTAAGTCATATTTATTAAATTAAATTCGTATGTATTTGATATAAATGTATTAAACAATATATACGTATACATACATGCATATACACACATATATATATGTATATTATACAATAATTAATATGAAAAATAAAATATAGATAATATTTCAACTATTTCAGATCGGATGGTGGTAGTAGCGAAAGTCCATTGCTCGTGGAAGAAGGAGAAACTCTTGGCCCACCTCATAGTCCACGTAATAAACATCCTCATAACCGATCACATGTGAATCCTCATGAATGTCATAGTCATCGCCATGATAAACCAAAGCAACTAGTAAAATATGGAGAATTAGTTATTCTTGGGTAAAAAAAAATATAATACGTTTTTAATATATATATATATATATATATTATTTTCATATATTTAGGATGATTCTTTAATTATCAAAGATGAATTATATTAATCATATTTGGTCATTATTATAGATACAATGGATATCTTCCACCTGGTGATCGTGGTAGGAGGAGAAGTAAATTCATTTTATTTAAAAGACCAATACCAAATGGTGTTAAACGTAGTAAACATTACATTGTTAAAACTCCTCACAGTTCACAAGCCATTCTTAATACAAAACAGCATTCAATTTCATATACACTTTCCAGAACTCAAGCTGTTATAGTTGAATATACAGAAGATGAAGAAACAGATATGTTTCAAGTAAGTTTAAATGAAGATGAAATTAAAAAAGAATTATATATTCATATTTATCTAAATAAACTTGTTATAATTATATTGTTATATTAAACAAATTAATCACGCATAGATTGGTCGTTCATCTGAGTCACCAATCGATTTTGTTGTAATGGATACATGTCCTGGTGGTAGTGAATGTGGAACTGCAAATGAAGGCCGGGTTGCTCAGAGTACAATTAGTAGGTTTGCCTGTAGAATTCTTGCCGATCGATCTAATCCTAGAATTGCTAGAATTTATGCTGCTGGTTTTGATAGTTCTAGAAACATCTTTTTAGGGGTAAGATTTACAATGGGATAATATATTTTTAAATTCAGAATTCTATGTTAAGAGAAACATTTCTATTCTATAGGAGAAAGCAACAAAATGGCAAGAAAATAGAGAAATTGATGGTTTGACAACTAATGGTGTTTTAATAATGCATCCACGAGGACAATTTTGTAGTGGTGAAGCCCAATGTGGATTTTGGCGAGAAGTTAGTGTTGGAGGTGGAGTATTTTCCCTTAGAGAGAGCAGAAGTGCTCAACAAAAGGGAAATTATGTAGAAGATGAAAATAATATTTTACAAGATGGTACTCTTATTGACTTATGTGGAGCTACATTACTTTGGAGATCGGCAGAAGGTCTTGCAAAATCACCAGTAAGTAAAATCTTATTTTGTTACCATTTTAAAAAAGGTAAATTTTTAAAAGTTTTTTCAACATGATAAATGTGATTTAGTACAGATGTAATAAGGACTTTGCAAGTATAATATTTTTGTTACATTTTTATATTTTTTGTTTGATAACTTATTATTTACTTTATAAATTCATTAATGTAAATTTTAATTAATATTTATGTGTAAGTAAATTTTACATTGATACTGTATATTTATAATTGTATTTTTTTTATTTTTTTTTATTTTTTTTTTTTATTTTTTTATTTTCTTTTTCATAGACAAAACATGATTTAGAAGAATTAGTTGATGCTATAAATGCTGGCCGGCCGCAATGTCCTGTTGGCTTAAATACTCTAGTTATTCCGCGTAAGGCAGCATCAGATACAGCTCAACAGCAACCATATGTTTATTTAAAATGTGGTCATGTACAAGGTCATCATGATTGGGGTCAGGAAGAAGATAAAGTAACAAGAAAGTGTCCAATGTGCTTGGTCGCTGGATCAGTAGTGAAACTTACAATGGGAATTGAACCTGCCTTTTATGTTGACAGAGGCCCACCTACTTATGCATTTAGACCTTGTGGACATATGGCTACAGAAAAAACTGTGAAGTTCGTAATAAAAATTATATATAAAAATAATAATATTTTTATAGATTATATAAAGAAAAGATTTTTCTGTATATATTTTGTATATAATAGTTTGTTTATCATAAAATTATAAAATGGCAATATTAACAATCTATATTCATCTGCAGATACTGGGAACAGGTGGCAATACCACACGGTACAAATGGTTACATCGCGATCTGTCCCTTCTGTGCAGTTCCTCTTGAAGGTTCACCTGGTTATATAAAACTCATTTTTCAAGACAATGTAGATTGAAAATACTTCCTATAATTTCAAGAAAAGTAATCTATAGAAATAATTTATACTACTTAAAAATTACAAGGCTTATAAAAATCAACAATCTTCAAATAATTTAAATATTTGATTTCGTTGAAAATTTTTGTTCTCTAATAAATCTACATGAAAGCAGTTGTACAATATACTTTTCTTGTTATTATGTACATGGAAGTTGTATAATTTTTAATTGTATAATATATAAAGATGAATGTAGAAGAGAAAAAGTTCAAACAATATCGAATTAGAATTCACGAATTATGTTTATTATTATAGTATGTAATAGTTTATACTCAGACGTAATTTATTATTAAATTAATAATTATTTCATTATTGGATATTTAATTATGGCATTCCTTTTTTCACCAAAAATGATAAATGAATAGGGAAAAAAGTACTCTTATTATTATATCCAAAATATTTAAATTTATAGAAAATATAATTTAATGGAGTTACGTTAATAGTATTTTGCTTTAATGTAGGTGGAATATTACAAGGGGGAAGCACAATGTTTATGTAACGATGTCGATCTCTTTTAGCTCATTTAGATAAATTTAAGAATGCCATGAAAGTATAGAAAATGAAAAAGTTGTAAAAGGTACGAGGTCCTTACCAAAAAAAAAAAAAATGTAATTATTTGCTGACTGAATGTTACTTATCTTATATATCATATTTATCTTCGATTAAAGAGTAATTTTTTATCAACTATAAATATTTACAAATTTATTATATACTACGCTTTTCACGAAGATAATAAAATTTCATACTTAGTTATTAAAAATATTTCATCTAAGTAAGTATGTAAGAATAAAGTAATATCTTTAAATGTAAATTTTTTTTCTAAAGATTATATATATATATATATTTATATATATATATATATATATATATATATATATATATATAAATCTTGAATAGTTAATATATAAAACAAAATCGCGAATTAGAATATAAATAATTATATTTATAACATTTATAACAAACAGATGTACTTACAATGACAGTCTGTAACATAAATGTATATCTTAGGTGTATGTACGTAATTATTTAGTTATCTATAGGATATAATCAGTCGCGCATCAAAAGGGCACAATCTCTTATTTGAGGAAGCAACTTTTGAATGTTTAGTAATGTAAATGCATCATTATTACAAACAGATAAATAATTGATTGTTATTGTTAATTTCTAAACAAATCTTATATCAATGAAAGTTTTCTATGCAGAGATGTCTCATACATAAAAATTCTTTGAATAATTACTCTAAATTATGATTAGCTTATTTTAACTTAGATTTAGCTTTGAATGTACTTATCTATTATCATTCATTTATCTGACCAGTAATGTTTTCCTAATTACAAATAATGAACTAATAGTTTTACAATCGCACGTTTAATATCTAAATATTATATATAAATGTAAATAAGTATGATCATAATTCAGTACTAGATCCACTACGACGAACATAGCGATTAAAATAATCAGGTCGCCAACATTTACAGCTGCCTGGTATTAAAAACCAATCATAATATAATCGTACCTACAGTAAAGGGCAAAAAAATTAATTATGAATTTAATCAAACATGTACAAGTGATTTTTTTTTTTTTTTATGACAAGTAAATTACCTGGAAACAACCCATTTCATCTACACCATCGCAATGATGCTGTTGAGAACTGCCACTATTACGTGCTTCATTTTCACCTGCACGTTTTTGCAAGTACTGTTGATAATTTTGGAAATCATGTACAGGTGGTGGAACACCGACAACAGGATCTCTGGGACCTGGAAATCTGTCAATCTGACTCCCTTCCAGAAAAGTTTCTGGATAAAAAATTTCAGCTACCAATAAACTAGTCCATCGTGGTGAAGACAAACAACCACCATCTAAGTAGTGGCATCTTGATTGCCTATATAAATTATTCATTATTATCTTTAATAAAAGTACATGTTTGGTCATTAATGATAGTTTTAAAATTATAATATAAAAATATGAATCTTTTATTATCACTTACATGCATCGAGTAACTTCAATTGTTTGTGTAAAGTAACCCTCATAAGGAATTTGCACAACATAACGCCAAACTCCTTGATAATTTTTTGCAAAAACTGGAGTTGCATATTCTACTTTTGCTGGGCAAGGTGTTGGTGGTCCAGTATATTCAGGCTTTTCTTGAACAGGATTTCTTTGATGATATTCTTGTGTTGAAGGCTCATCTCTGCGTTCTGCTGCTGATGCTACCAATGGTTCACCTTGAATTGCTTTGTATAACATACATACCCTAGATAAAGATATTTTTAAAAATAATTTTTTAATAATATAATACACTTATTATTATAAATCATCAAAGCAATAAAATAACATACACTCCACTACCATTCTCACAAAATTTGCGACCATTACGATTTGCATTATTATTTATATCAGAAGATCTTTTATTCCTACTTCGCTTTCGATCAGGATCAACTCTGCAAAGAAAATAATTTAAAAAAAACTTTAACATATTGAATATTATTATTATTAATATTAAATATATATATGTATATATATTTTACTTACGAATTTTGCACAGGTTGAATTTTGGCAACTTTTGGTAAAGATTCATCTGCTTTTAAAATTGGCAAAGCTTTGCTCAAAAACTTGAGAGTATGATTTTTTATTAAAGTGCTACAAATATATGTATAAAAAAAAAAGTATATGTAAGTATATGTATGTATATTAAAAAGAAAATAAGAGAGATAATACAAATAATTATATTAATATTTTGCGTTTTACTTACAATGGATAGGAAGATCCATTTATATATTGTTTCATTGGATTTTTAGGTATAAATCCTTTATTTAAATCACCACAAATATTATACACAGACGCATATCCCTTTCCTTTCCCAGTATCTGAAATTTATATTAATCAGCTAATATATTAAGCAAGGTAAATATCAAAATCTATTTATAAAACTAATAAAAAATTTGGAGATTAAGTAAAATATTTTTCTACCATGACATTCTTTATCGCTTTCAACATATGGTGGTGGTTTAACTTTAGGTGGTTCAGCATTTGGTGATTCAACAAATGCATAATATCCTTCTGGAGGTTCATCTTGCATAGATACATCGTTATTACTTGTTTTTGTTCGTTTAGTGGTATGATATTCTTCAGCAAAAGTTAAGTTACATAAAACTAATATCTGAAATTAAGAATAATTAATAAATTAAATAAATAAGTCATATGAAATAAGATAATATTCTGTTGTCATATATTAAACTTAAACTTGAAAATTGTTATTTTTAACAATACATAAATTTTGAAATATTTCTAAAAAGAAAAATATATTCTAATCTAAAATCGGGGTCATTATATATATCTACTTTCTACTTGTCTCTACCTGCGCGATACATACGGGTCATTGACGGCATTCCCCGTTAGTAAACACGTTATATGCATTCAGTCTTAACGGTACGTGGTCCATCAACTACATCGTTTCATGCTCTAAATTATATGTTTTTGCTTATTTGCAAATAATCTTATCGTATTTTTTTTTTTTTTTTTTGATTAAACTGATCTTATGTTATATATTATAAAAATCACTTACTTTCAAAGAAAAGTATTTATTTTTCTCTATTCATTATTTCAAATTGTTAATATAAAAATGCAATATGACGTACGTAGTGAAAAGAAATAATTGAAAAAAAATCATGGTGTTATGTAATATTGTAATTTAAATTTTTCATCAATATATTTAACCTACCTTTGAAATATTTCGAACATTAAAAAAGTATGATTACGTCAAATTTTATCGTCGCTAATGAGGACGAAATCTTCAAACCGGTACCAGTAAAATCGAAAGATATAATGAATTTTTTAAAACTGACGTAATCACACATTCGTTAAAATATTAAATAATATTCTGCAAATTATGTTACTTTTCTTTTATAAATTTTATTAGAATCGACTTATGTCATAACTATTTTGTTATAATAATATCTATAGATATAAATTCGGTTATGTGTCCTAAAATCTATATATACGTTAATATATTTCATTAATATAATTTTCGCGCGTAAAAAATTAACATTTTGAATATAAAACATCACTTCCGTATTCATCTTTAAAAAGATTATTTAAATACATTGACATTCTTTATATCTTTGAAATATTCTCATTCGATTCTTTCTTTTTTTTCAAGTTACAACGAGCAAATTATAAATAAATAAATTTAAATAAATTAAACTTAAATTAAAATGAAAAAAAAAAGAAATTGTTAGTACACTATCATTTTGATTTTCAATAACTCTACATCCTATCTATTGCAATAAATTAAAATTTATATTGATCACTGAACTGACGTGACACGTACAAAATTGATCGTATTAAATAAAAATAAAAAAACTTCGATATAAATAAAAAAGAAAAAAACGGAAAAAGAAGATAAGTAACACACATTAATCTCGAAGAATATCATTTTTTTAATAACTTTTACTACACAAAATATTTAAAAAATTATTTATGAAATATGTTAGGGGCACTTAAACGATTGAACTTACAAATAATAAACGTAGTTCCATTTTAATAATATTAATGTTGAACAATATAAAATAAGCAAAGGACAGACAGTTAGTTAAGTTTAACAGAGAGAAGACGTTACTCATTACTCGGTCAACGGTTATAGGAAAACTGAATATCTTAAACTTGTAGCTTCGGATAGCTCTGGCCGGTTACCTTCACCTGTATATTTTACCGGTGTGAAGTCGCGTTCAAGTTGAAGGAAAAAAAAAAAAGAGAATCTCTCAAGGAAGAATAGCGGTCAACAACATGCTGCATAAGGATATCGATATTCACTGATTCTTTTCCTTTTTCCTTTTTTATTTTCTTATACGATCGATTAACGATCATAGATCCGCTATATCGCTATATGTATATACCTAGTAATAAGCACATTGTTCTAAATTCATGTAATTTGTATCAGTGAGTATATTATTAAAAGGATTATCCTTCCGGCATAAGATTTTCTCGAAATATCTATAGATTAATTACTATAAATAAAAAAAAAACATTTATTAAACATATATTGTATATATACATATATATATATATTTTTTTTTTATATACAAATATTTTTTCTTTCAGATTTATCTAATCAATATTATTAAATTAATATATTTCAGATTTATTTAAATCGTTACTAATATTTGAAACGATACTTGTAAATATTATATATTAGTTTTTTTGAAAAAAGAGTATAAAATTGGAACGTTTTCATCAAATATTCTATGGGATTTGATTTTCTTTTTAATGTTCTCTTTGATTTAAGAGAAACATGTCGAACGAGTTTATATTTAATTAACTGAGGTCAAAAACCTCTTAAAAATGATCATGGAAAAGTATATATACATATGTTCAACTCTTGCAGTCGGTCAAGGTCATCTAGCAATTGACATGTCTTCGTCAGGAATATACAGAAGAATGTGGAATGACAAGCTGTTAACGTAATGGAATGCGGTAACGGGTCCTTTCTTTATATTATCATGCAAACCTTACACAAGCGTGCATGGAATCGTAATACATTGATAAATATGTAGGCGTGGTACCATTGAACTTTTCATTAAAAATTTTGTACTTATATAGAAGTTATTCGTTGAAATTAAATGAAGAGATAATAATGCGAGATTGATTGTATTTGAAATAGAAAATAGAAAATTTATCTGTTTTTTATTACTTTTTATAAATGAAGATAATGTAAATGACTTAACTTATCGGCCGTCGGTAATACATGAAAATATTGGATTAGAGACATCTATTGGATATTATTTGAAACTGTATATTCATTTAATTATCAATCGAGTTTAAACACATAAAAGATAATATTTATAAAATTTATATTGAATAATAATATCGTATAATAATAAATATATATAAATATACATAATTTTTTGAAAAGAACATTTTTTTGTATAAAAGAAATTTGCCACCTTATTCTAAATTTCGTTGAAGGGAGATTTTAAAATAAAACGTAATTATTTATATACCTATGTATCTTTAAACATTTTTTTATACAAATATTTATATATATAATTTTGTCTCATTACATCAGTTATATAACGTTACTCTTTTTTGATTGCAAAGTAAAATGCATTGAAAAAATCTCTTTTAAATTCGCGCGAGCTTTACTTTATATTTAAAATATACATTTTTATTAAAAGTAATACACACTTTCTCTAATTACATTACACTACCTTTTTTTATATATACATGTGTGCGTGTATGTGTATATATATATAAGAGTATGTTTAATGATATAAGATTTAATATTTTTTGCTGTCAAGAAAGAAAACGATGAATAATTAACGTACATTACTCCGATTGCAAGAGATAAAAAAAAATATATATATATATATATATATATATATATTTAATATATTTAATAGATAGACAAAATTAAGGGAACATGCGGTTTACTACGATCTTTTTCTAACTATCGTGGCTAGTAATCATTTCGTTTGAAGCTTGCTAATTATGCCATAACATAGATGGTGGAGACATGTGTTTGTGAAATACGAAGACGACCCGACTCACCCGGGGGTATGAGCTGCCCTACTTTCCCCTATATTAATTTTATCTGCATACAAATACTTCATGATTTCGTATCTTCATTTCAAACACAATTGGATATTTTCTTGTTTTTTCTTTTTGTTCTGTTTTTTTTCTTTTTTTTTTTTTTTTTTTTTTTTTAACTATAAGTATATTAACATATTATTTATTATTCATGCTTGTGTAAGACATTTTTATTCGGAATGTCTTTATTAGCTATTACAAAGGTGATGATTCTCTTGATCGGTATAGATAATGGTCGATAAATCATATTTAGATCATCTACGATATTGATAATTTCAACAGAAAAAGATCAAGGATGATCCTTGATTTCTCTTGCTCCACTTAAACTACTTACGGTCCTATTTCTTCATCTGCCTTTCATTTGCATCATACACCAGTAATCGTTTTGTGTAGTTAAATAGAAGATGAAACCAGTTACGCCGTACTTCAAGTTGCATCATAATCGATCATCCGAAATATTATTCTGAACTTTCGCCTGAGAGATCTAAATAGATCATCTGATAAATAATATCTTTCAAACGAAAGAGACTGTATCGCTGCAATATTTTAACATGAAAATGAATTTCTATATTTACGTAAGTTATAAACGTAAAGATCCGCGTTACACATTACTTTTGTTCCTTTATCTTTACCTTTCATTTATTTTTTTCAGAGACATAACGACAGTAAAGTGAAATATTTTTTAAGATAAACAAATTTTTTAATTTAATGATAATTTTTAATTATTTTAACTATGGACTTATATACACGCATATGCAAATAAGATAGAAACGCGCATACTATGTACAATTTTCATCTGAAAAACACACACGATAAAAGGATACTTGAAATGAAATAAATTAATTATTTTCATAAAATAATAAAAAAAGAATTTTTTTTATTTTGTTATTTAATAATATATCAATAAATTCATCATGACACTCACACAGATAGATATGTCAATAATCATTTTGTACATGTGGATGACCCAATGAAATTAGATTTTCTTAGAAAAAATGACAGTAAATATTATTATCTTATATTATTTGGTAATATTATTGACGTAAGAGGGTTTTTGAGATGTACAATTATACCGGAAGAGATCGTGATCTTATAATTACGTCGAGATTTCGTTTCTTTCGTGACGCGAGTACCCTAATCGACAGGTCGAAGTCACGTGCGTAGGCCCAATTCAAATTTAAAGCTATTTCACTCATCCACTGAACATCTCATCTCGTAATTCATCATAGAGTGAAGGGAATATACGTTCTTTTACACCTCCCACATCTACGGTTGCTCATCCTAATGCAGGGAAGGATATGTATACGCAACACACTAAGGATAAACTGTAACAAAGGATCAGCAGACTATATAAACTCCGCGGAGCATCATTTTCTCAGTCCTCATAGAATCTTCGCTCATACAGCAATATGAATTATCACGAGGTAGGTCATTTATGGATTATATAAATACGGATTATTGATGATAAGTAATATTTTCTGGCGGAATTGAAAGATATGACAATCGATAAGTGATTTAGAATTTTTATTTATCAAAAAAAAAAGAAAGAAGAAGAAAAAAAAATTATATATTTTTAATGCATTCATCTGAGAATATTCAAATGGGATTAAACTGGAAATTCATACAAAAAAAAAAAAGAAAAACAATAATTACTCTTTAATCGCTCAATTTATTTGCTAATACAAATTTAATACCACGGGTAAGAGTATATGAAATATTGTTACAATTATCGAATGAAGAAATTTCTACTGATTTGAATTGTTTGTTAATATAGATAATAATGACGTCATTAAAAACAAAAAAAAACATTAAAGTTAATTACATTGCTATTTTAAATCGCCAATTAAAAATTCATTGATTAACGGGAACAGTTTTAAATTAAGATAAGTCGAACTGTTTAAACGCATTAGTAATCAAACTAAATATAATTTAATTTCGATTGCAGTGTATGACAATTGTCATAGTACTATCGTGTATCGGTAGTAATGTACTTGCTGGACTCCTACCGGGAGGTGGTGAAAGTGGTGGGTATCAATACAGACCAGGTAGCGGATTCAATGATAGATTCGGCGGGGTAGGTCTAGGCAGAGGTGGTGACTTCGGTGGATCAAACTTTAGAGATAGACCTGCTGGATTATACGGAGCACCAGCTTTCGGAGGGGATGGTAATCGTGGAGGTGGTGGTGATTTTGGAGGACCATCTTCGACTTATGGGGCACCTGGATTTGGTACCGGTGGTAACAGAGGATATCAAGGTGGTTTTAACGGAGATTATGGAAGGGTATGATAACAATCTTTAGTATATATAAAATACTATTATATAACTTTTTAAAAAGAATTATTTTATCTTACAATTAATATTATTTTGAAGAGGTTCATTTTATCGTAATAATAATAATAATAATAATAATAATAATAATAATATATATATATATAAAATATATATGTGATATAATAATAACTTCTAAGTATAAAATACATAAAATATTATTACAATGAAATAAACATATTGAAGAATATATTTGATATATATAAAATATTATTATTTATCTTTATAAAAAGAGGTGTTTCATTTTACTATAATCTTTAGATATAACTACAGTTTATAAAATGAATTATCTTATAAAAATCGTACTTTGTCGTTCACATAATAGAATTAAAAAAAACAATGTTTCGTTGTAATTAACAGCCTCAACCATACAATTTCCAATATCAAGTTTATGATCCACCCAGTGGAAATGATTATTCCCAACGCGAAAGTAGCGATGGAAATCTTGTGCAAGGAGAATATAGAGTTTTGTTACCCGATTCGAGAACTCAAATAGTGAAATATACAGCTGACGATGCAAATGGTTATAATGCAGATGTTCAGTACGAAGGTCAGGCTCAATATCCACAAGGTATGTCAATTAATTAATTTCGATGATTTTAATCTGAGTTCTCAATTTGATTGTATTTTAATGTGTTCAATGAGCTTCTTTGTCCTTTTTTTTCCTTTTTATAAACAGATGGCAGATATGGAAATAATGCTTTTGGAAATGGAAACATTGGAAGTAATCAATATTTACCTCCACGTGGAAATTATCGCAAATAAATAAGATTATTTACGTTACATTGATGTACTCGTCCAAGCTTGAGCAACAACAACCACTATAGACCTCTTCACTTTTGCAATTTTTTATTTAATCGTACATATTCATGTCATCGTTCATAGCTATTTATGTAATGTAACTATGAAATAGTATAATTTATTACGTATACATATACGTTATATATACATTTAATTTTATACACGATAATATTATAATACAAGAAATACATATTTGCTTACCGCAACCCTTGCCCTCCAACGAGGAATTCTGCAATTTATATATAACTATCTATGTAATTATATATATATTTGTAGTAAATAACGAATATATATCTTTTATAATCATCTTACCAAAATTCGTATCAACTTCATAAACAGATCCATGATTCTTTTTTCTCCTCATTTTTATTTAATTGATGGATTTACCTATATCAATTGACATGACAAAATTTTCACATGCAAGAATACCTCATATAATAAACATATGAAACGTATTAAAATTAAATAAAAATTAAATGGGTTATTTAAAATAAAAAACAAAGTAAAGATATATGGGAGTATTTTTTTCTTCAATTCTTTTCTTGTATCTATTTTATGATACTCATATTCCGTAACGATGTACATTTTTGTTGAAATCAATTATTAGACATACTAAATATAAATTATTGTATATTATTATTTGTTAATTATAAAAATATAGTTCAGGAAAGATTGTGTAACAAAATTGTTACAGTTTCGAAATGAAACATATCGTCGTACATTGATTAAACATTTTCGTCTTTTAAATAGTTTATACTATTATGCAAAAAATAATATTTTATTTTTTTATTTTTTATATGAATAGCTTTGAATCCATTTTGTTTTGTTCTGTTTCTTACACGCAGATCACACATTCTCCGGTACACATTTTTTCACATTTAAAAAACAAGCTCCATTGCAAACATTTTTTTGATCATTAAATATAACACACGCTAGACTATTTATAGCTATATGTTGCCAAAGCTTGTGTATCCATTTATTCACAGTACAACACGTTTCTTTAATGTGTTCATCTTCTAATTGTTTTTCCGTTATTTTAACATGGCATACAATAAATTCATGCTGCAATGCTATTTCAGAGGCTCGCGTTATTGCTTGCTTGTCATTATCAGCTACCACCAGACGTATCTGTAAAAAAAAAAAGAAAAGAATAATCATTAAGATAAGAATTTATAATAATGCTCAAATTATTTGTATCCTTAATTATATAAATTTCGAAATTACCTGATCACCCTCATTATAATTTTCATCATTTTTAATGTTCAATGAAGATGTTTTGAAATATTTGGAATATTCATTTATAATTTGATCAGTACCAATAATAGTTGCAGTCCTTTGTTCTTTAACTATATAATTAAATATGGATATAGCATATTTATCAATTCGTAATTTTTTCATTTTTCGTTGAGATATAATTTGATTACCAGTTTCTACTTTTAATGTATGTTCATCCAATTCTTTAGGTAACACAGGTTGAACACAATCTCCATAACCTATACTATTAGCTAATTTTAACTGTGTTAATTTCATAGAGGCTATTGAATCTTCTGTTGAACAATGACCACTACTGCCTTGTTGTATAGACATATCTAAAAATATTTTAGCTAAAACTTGTAACTTGGTTTTTCGATGTCTGCAAATAAAAGTTTGTTATAAAAATTTTTTAAAAGACTGCATACAATACACCAATGATATTCTGTAAAAATGTTAATTACCGTACGCCGGTAATATTAAAGATCACAGATGTATCAATGATGTATGGATGCATCATTTTTAGTGTATGTAGGTCAAAATTTAAACTCTGTCCTACAAGGATACAATCTGCAGGAAGTAACATTCTTAATGTTTCTTGTACATCTGTTAACGTTGTAGTAACATTACTTAACATTTCTTCTGTAATACCACTGTACTGAGTCAAATAATCGATAATCTTATTATCAGGTTTAACAAGAGTCTCATAAACAACCTATGATAAAGATAAAGTATGAAATTGTTTAATCTTTTACAATTCTTAAGTACAACTTACATTAAAGCTTTCGTTAACAAGAGATATTCTTGTAAGTTCCAAATTTCCAGTAATTGTTTTACACATTTCACAATCCAAAGCGAACATAGGTGATTTTGCAGTTACCTCAGTGTAATTATCTTTTGTGAAAACGTAGTCACCATATCTAAAACGAATCAACAGTTTCATATGATTCTGTAATACTATATTTCATTTAATATATTATGTAAAATATTATAATAAAACTTACTTTTCCCATAGTTTTCCTTTCAGTGGTACTGGATAATTTTCTTCAACCATTTGCTGTAAAGACAGTAATAATTGTGTCCTAGAAAATTTATCAGTAGGAGGTAGATTATTGTCTCTATTTGTAGAATTTGTTGTAGTCATATTCATAGGGAATGCCTTTTTTAATAAGTGTATTATATCAGTTGTACTTCGTAATGCATTCTCTAAAGAACCAAATTCTGTAATAGGAATAGTCTTGTATATTTATATATTATATGATATTTTCATTTAGTTTAATTACTATATTTATATTAATTCATTGTAAATACGTTTAATTAATTTGTCACTTTGTGTCCCGGTTAACGGCACTGCTACAAGTTCTTCTATTATAGAACCATTATATGCTGCTGGTGTCATCATTTCGAAACGAAACTCCAAATCATCTGTTATATGAGAAAATATGCTTCGATAACCTACGAAATGATCTAATGAAAGGCCTTCAACTATAAAAACTATAGTATGTGTGACCTATAAAATGATCCATAAAAAAGATTAACTATAAAATTCATTATATTATGTTTTTCGATCTTTTTGTTTACCTTGTTATATTTTTCAAGTTGACACCATCGTGCTGGTGTATATGGTGAATGATGACCAAGTAATGAATATAATAACAAATGTTGTATATCACTGAAAAAAAGTGGAATTCTATTTGCAAATTCATAACCATCATATAACTTTGCATCAAAACCAGCTGATCTTAATAGTATTCGAGGTATATTTTGAAGTATTTTCTTGTTTTCTTTTAATTTTTTTTTTAACTCTTCATAATCGTCTCCAAATAACCTGTATATAAAAATAGACTAATTTAAAAGCCTTTTTATTCTTTCTCAAATTATGTTATAATTAAATAAAAGTTTTATACAAATCTAATGACCTAGGCTTTTTAGTAGTACATTCATCGTCTTCTTTAATACTATGATCTTTGTCTTTTATTTCATTATTTCTCTCATCATGAGTTTCGTCTAATGCTGTACAACATAATCGTTTACGATTTGAGGTTTCATCATTTAATATTCCATGATTTTTATCCAAGTGATTCACTGAATTAGTTTGTCCTGTTTCCTATAAATATTTAATTCAATAATACACTAACTAATTAAATAATCTATGGATATAGAAAGATAATATTCATTATGAAAATAACAATTTGTTTAAGAGCAAGCATTTTGACTTCTCTGTCTTTCTCATTCAATTTAATAATCTCTAAAAGAGCAGCCATTTTCTTCTTCTTATTTTCTAATCGTTGGAGTTGCTTTGTTGTAAAATTTTTCATAATTCTCGATTACTTTGAGAAAAGTTACTACAACCATTTGTTATCTATAAATAATAAAGAAATACACTACTGAAACAACTTTAAAGAAATAAATTGTATTTATGCAAGTTTTATTTGATAAAAATTGAATATATGTTTCATATAAGAAAATAAATATACATTTGTAAATCTATAAGAAAGATTAAAGGTAAAATTGAATACAAAATTAAGATAAAAATATTATGAAGATAAAAAGATTTTTTAAATCAAATCGATTAAATAGTATAAAATTAAATCATAAAAAAACATATTTAAATATATTGTAAAAATATTTTTCACAAAAATACATTTTCAAAATAAATACATTTTTCCTATCTTGTTACTGATAATTGCTAGATTATTTGATAAATCAATAATTTATTTTCTACAATATTATATAGTGAATATACCGTAGAGATCAATTTTAATTTTGAATATATTTCTACATATATTCAAAATTAAAATTACAGATTACATTAAGATACACAATCAAGTAAAATACAAAATATTAAACATTACCATCTTCAACGATTTAAAGGTTATATTTCACTCGGTACAACAAAATTTCTACAACTGTTCACTCGTAACTTAGCAATGCAAATCAAATTAAAATAATGGTTAAATGTATATATAAATATTTCTTTTTCTTTTTTTTTATAGTAGATTTACTTGTAAGAAGAATGTAATGAAGTTATCAAGCATTATCAAATGAATGTATTTTATTTAGGTATATGCTTACACTACACGAATGAACAGAAGTTAGGACAAAACAAGTTGCTTGAAGTATCCTATAGATGGCGTGTGTTACTTTATAGGTTCAATAAAAAATTACATTTTGAGTTGATTTACATGGATGAATAAGTTTATAAAATTGCTGATATTTTAAATATTGAAAATGTTTAATAAATATCGTGCGAAATTTTCAAAATAAAATTTTACAAGAAATTATAATTGTTAATGCCGTTATTTATATAAATCATGAAAGAAAAGTGCAGGTACGTAGTTGCATCAAATATCAAACATTTTTTATATTTACAATTTGTAAATTATAAAGATAAATGCACATATAATATAAATAATTAAAATATTTACGTAAGATTTATTTAAAGCAAAATGGTTATAAATTGTATATATATATATATATATATATATATATATATATATATATATGTATTTATTTAAAAAGATTAACTAATAAAAAGATTAAATAATTATTAAAATTCGTGGAATTAAATGTTAAAAAAAAAAAATTATTTAGCGAAAAGATTTTAAGTTTCTATAAGAAAACCTGAAATCGATTTTCATATATTGTATTTAACGAATTACATTTATTTAACGCATTGACTGCCACGTCACCCATATTCGGATGAATTTCTGATTGGGCCGCGTCACCCGTATTGGGGTGACGCTTCTTTGACTACTTGCGAAGGATATTCGTATGTGTTTGAAAAGATATTTCGCAGAGGAAGTAACAAAACTATTGAATATTAATTAATATAAACTATATTTATTAATATAAACTTAAATTTATAATGAGTATTCATTAATATAAACTATTGTTATAAAAGTAGTACGAAAATGGTTTATTAAGAAAATTATGTAGAATGTAAAACTTTAAAACATTCTATACAAATGTTGATCGGGACAACTTGGACAATAAGTTGTTGTTTTCTTTAAATTCTAAAATAAAAAAATTTTTAATAAAAAAAATTTTTTTTTTAATTTTTTTTTTTTTTTTTTTTTTTTTTTTATAAAAAAATTTTTTAATAAAATTTTCAATGTGTTAAAGAAAATATTAACCTCTTTCGCAATTAATCGTCTTCGATTTACGAATGATGCTTCCGGAAATATATACCACGTATGAACAGGCGCGAAAATTTAAATGGGACATCATTCTTGCGCATAATCCTAACATAAATGGTTTGTAATTAAGTTCACCAGTTTTCCATGTATTTAATTACATCTCTGCCCCAATTAAAAAGTGATTAACTCTAGCATACTTTCTCAATTAAAACAATGAAACTATCTTTTTAATAAAATTAAAAAATTATGTTTTACGTAGTGTTTCTTCATTAAATTCAAAAAACTTAACATGATTTCTTTTTTACAATAAAATTAAAATTAACTGAATGAATTACGTATGAATACAATATAATTTTAGAAAAATAAATTTGTCAAATGAATTATTTTTATCAAATAATTTTATTTCTGACAATTGTTTTCATTGAATGGACAATAAACCATCGTGAGTACAGATTAAAAAAAAAAAAAAATTGGACAAATAAATATTTTTATTAAATCGTTATAGATTTATATCTTATTTATTTAATAATCTAGACTATTGTAACATAAAATAATATAGTATATTCGCGACACTGAAACCAGTTGAGAGTATACATCTCGAGGAAAGTACGACCGCAATAAGTTTGTCGTGTTGTAGTGTAGAACGACGGTGAAAGCGCATTATGTTCATTTTGCGACTAAAGATGGTTCGAATATACGGTATCATTGTATTTCTTTCACATGATTAAGTCGTTCGACATGCGTCATCGTTATGAAAAGAAAAAAAGAAGGGAAATAAACCAAAGGAAAAAAAAACGGATACGTTTCATATACGAAATAAAAAAAAAAAAAAAAAAAAAAAAAAAAAAAAAAAAAAAAAAAAAAAAAAAACAAGACAGAAACGTTAAAAGAGATGATTTGCAGCACCTCGATGACGAAAATTGCTGAATGAGGTTAATATTTCCCACTTTCTCTACGATCGTCCTGTGTACATCTTAAGATCATCTTAGGACACTTTCATGACTGCTTACAAGTTATCTTGCGCTATTTTATATTAACATTTCATACCTACCAAAGTTCGTGATCATTCGAATACTTATTACGTGGTGAAAGTTTACAACAAACTGTCGCTGAATGTATTAATAATACGCAATCGTTTTTTTTTTCTCATATCTCTTTCGTATCTTTTTCATTTAGAAAAATATAAAGCGATGCAATCAATCCATCCTGTTTTTCATGCATCAATCTGGCACACGATGCAAGCAAACGATTACAATTCATATGCTTCGAGCTGTACAAAATCAACAAAGAAGAATGAGGTAAAAAAATTGTGTATTCCAGTGGCGACTTTAATGTACACTTTTTTTCTTTATTTTTGTTTTCTTTCGTTTTGTTTTTTCTTTTTTCTTTTTTTTTCCATTTTACTGTACGCACATACGTACACATATCGTTTCTTCTTGGATATTGCGCAAAGAGATTCGTGCGTTCTCGAGTTATGTCGTAAATGCATACGGAATGAAACAATATCTTGACCAATTCTACGTTGACCAAAATCTTTATGAGTATGTAAATAAATAAATAAATAAATAAATAAATAAATAAAGCAAGGACAAATTTTTTAATAAAGTTTTAACGGCTTGAAAAAAATTCTAACATATAAGGTTTCTACTGATAAATTGCTTCATCGATTTAATTTATTCACCAATCCGTAATAACGGTAATGATGGAAAGAGTTAATTTAAATTAAAAAAAATAAACACGTTCGGTCAACGTACATGCATACATATATATTTTTACATAGATAGATACGCATATATAATATATATTTATATATTTCATATATACATATAATATATCCATCGAATTATGATCACCATAAACAAAGGACTGTCTGCGCTTCCTTTGTATCTTCCATGACTTTCCTCCACTTCTCTCTCTCTCTCTCTCTCTCTCTCTCTCTCTCTCTCTCTTTTTCATTCTCTTTCTTTTTCTTTCATATTCACTATCCCTACTCTAGTCTCAACTGCTTTCTTCTCTTTCTTTCTCCCGTTTCACATGTTAACGGCATGTATCTATACATACTTAGATGTATACAGATATATATATATATATATATATACACACCTTTTACATTAGCAATGCCTGTAATATGAACTTCCTCGGTTTTCTTCTCCTTCCAGACTTCCTGTATGCCAAGAGGCAAACTTCTATAGTTATAACGTAGGCGTTTTTTTTAAGTTTCTCAGTTATCAATAGCTGCACTAAATAAATAATTAATTTAACATATTAATTAACTAATATGAATAACAAACGATCATTTAAATATACACGGAATCAATCCATTTTTCTTTTTGCTGTATTCACCTTCGACCTTACTCGAGTAAATTAAAATCAACATAACAATGTCCACTTTCTAAACGAGATAATTAAAACACGCTTTCCTTAATAATATAATAATGTTTATTTATTCCTTTTTTTTTCCGAACTATAATTAATGTTTAAATATGTTATATGTATAAAAAAAAAAAGAAAACAAAAAACGAAGAGAGTGAATAATAATATGATATAAAAAAAAAAGAAAAGAAAGAAAGAAAGAAAGAGAGAGAGAAAATGAAGAAAAATAATGCCAGCTCAATGTCGCAAATGGATCATCGATCACTTCTAATTTTAACGTCGACATCTTCTCTAGGTAGATTGAAAGATGCACGATTTTGGATCGAAAAGCGTACCTACATTCGCTCGGTCATTCGTACGGGACGAGGCACATGTACAAACACACACACTATCATAGCGATGTTTAGAAAGTCCAGTAACGAGAGAATGTGAGACGACGAGGGTACGAGGAGGTACCAGAACGTGTATCAGAAGGTAGCATGTCTCGGTTGATATTCGGGTGGGGGCATCTCTAAGGTAGCGGTACCAGCTCTTACTTACCTCTCACTATTCGTCGAATCGCCGAGCGATCGACATCAAGTATTATACATCTCCGTCCACAAATACGTATATCCTATAATCTTAAATAGATATACCTATATATATATATATATATATACACATATTTATATAGATATATACATATATCTATCTTTTATTCTTTTTTCTCTTTTTATCTTGTTTGCTCTTTTTTTTTTTAATCCACGAGAAGAAAGTAGGAAAGAGAAAGGCCAAAAAAAAAAAAGGGAAAAGAGGAGAGTCTGGACAGATTTTTTTAAAGTTCGTATAAAGGGGGTCAATAAACTCAATCCAAAGAGGATGGAGAAGGACCAGCCGGATTCTTTGGCAACGGTTGCTGTCGTCTCGGAGAAGATGCCGCAGACGCACAGTCATTATGCACCTAGCGAAGTCTATTCCTCTGCCGAACCACCACCGGTAAGTTTTCTACTTCTTTTTAAATTTATTTCACCTATCATGATTTCATTTATCGTAGAGGTATAGACTTGAAATTCTATATAATATACAATCTGACGTGTGTTCTTATGTACTTATGTGTGTATGTGTATATATGTGAACGCCTGAGATCTGGTGATTGCAAGTGTTATTTTTGTGTGGATGTGTACAGAAAAAAATATCATATGTTTTCTTTCTTCTTCTTCTTCTTCTTCTTCTTTTTGTTTTTTCTTTATTTTATCTGAAAGATTATATAATAAATGACGGCATACATTACTTTTTTTTTAAATTAATGCAGGAAGATTTTTTCAAAATAGATAAGATTATCTTTATTCATTTTTCATTAATCTTTCTTTCGGTGCAATTTTAATGCATTTTCGTGTCCAACGTGTATAATATTAATATAAATATTAGTTTTCTTTTAATGTATGTATAATATGTGTGTATATAAAAGGTAATATTTTTAATGATAAGGGTGATAATTCTTTTTTTTTTGGTTCTTTCTTTTTTCTGTTTTAACAAAAAAGGGATATTTTTTATATTAAAGAGAAACATGAAAATAGAAATTTACGACATCGGGGTCGTCGTTCGACTGGTACATTTATTTCTTTGGCAAACTTCACGGAAATCGTTATGCTTCCGCGAAAGTTCTTACAGATAAACCTTGCGCAAGACATGCACTTTGTAAGGAATTATTGTGTTACCTCGTTTGATCGACTTAGGGGGAAAAAAAAAGAAAGTTGTTGGAATTGTGGAATTTGTTTGTGCCTTTTTTTTTCTTTTTTCGTCTTCATTCTCTCTCTCTCTCTCTCTCTCTCTCTCTCTCTCTCTCTCTCACTCTCTCTCTCTCTCTCTCTCTCTCTCTCTCTCTCTCTCTCTCACTCTCCCTATATATATATGCAAAAACGAATAATACTCGAAGATTTTAACAAATGAATATCATTTTATCTAAAAAAAAATTGTCAACTTTTCAAGATCATATGGGAAATTGTTTCGATAATTTTACAATAACAATATATCTTACTTAAAAAAGTTATCGATTTGTAAAAAATTTTTCCACGTTGAATTCGTAACATTGGTATAAAAGTTACTCTTTTGTACGAATATGTCATTACGACCGGAAGCTTTTATTACCGGTAGAGGAGGGAATAAAAGAGAATATACTCGAGTCGTACCAGAAACTTCTATAGTATATAATGTCCAGATGTTCATATTTACATTTTCTGTTTGAAGTGTTTAAAAGCATGCATGACTTTCAAATGAGGAAAAAGGAATACAAGTATAAAAAAAAAAAAGAAAAGAAAAGGGAAAAGAAACAAAAAAAAAATATATATATATATATATATATAATCATTCGGAGTATCTGCTTCGTGAGAAAGAAACAAAATTATTCTTTGCGAGTCATTCCATGACAAGTAGAAAAACGAGATAACATTTTAAGTCGTATAGATATATATATATATATATATATATATATATATATATATATATATATATTTATATATCCACACATACACATATATGCATAGATGATACATACAAAGTCTGGATAAAGCATAATACAAAACTCGTTTCTCAAATTTCTTGATTATAATCATACATTTGGTCTTTCTTTTACGCTTACCGAATCATGAATCATGGATCTTAAAAAAGCCGTGCGTATATATATATATATATATATATATATATATATATATATATATATATATCCAATTTCGATATAATCTACACTTTATAGTGTCAATTATATTCTAGCATTAAAATTTCCGGAGACATCAATGCGCGTAAATCGTAGGAAAATGATTAGTAACATTAATGGAAGTAATATTATTCAATTTGTAATTGAGGAATAAGTATTTTGTTTGTGTGTTCATTTAAATAATGTATCGACGGATAATTATGCAAATTAGTTTGATACATAGCTTAGAGACAAAGTTTTCTTTCCAAAGTAAATATTAAAACTAATCGTTAGTAGAAATGCATATATATATATATATATATATATATATATATATATATATATATATATACAGACTGTGCTAAACAAGTTCCTGGATGATTTTAAAAATCAATTATTCCATTATCGAGATTTTTAAAGGATTATTTTATTTTTTCTTCTCAGATGTTATACAAAACTTCTTAGACGTATAGTTTTACAATTTGAAAGAGAAAAATTAGCTCTCGATAAAAGTCTCGAAAAAGAATAATTGATTTTTTTTAAATCACTTAAGAACTTTTTCGGCTCACTCACTATAAACTGTTCATTAATATATATATTTCCGATTATAGATCAATTTTAGATGAATTATTTTATTTCATTGTCGTTTTGTTATTTTTTCTTCTTTCTTTTTTGCTTTTTTTTTTTTTTTTTTTTTATTATTACGATCATTATAGAGGAAAATAATGATCGAGCAAGTAGACTTTCTTCACGCTGTATAAATAAGGTATAATAACTCTTTTGATTTGTATACCTGACAACAGTACCTCTTTACTTTTATCGGACAGATCGAGTAGTATAAAGGCTGCTGCATGAGATGGCCTACTATCTCTTTGAAACCTCTCACCTTAGAATCGTCCATCCGCATCGAGGTCACTATGAATTATATGAATAAGAGTAGGTACAGTCGATGCAATGAATTTTCATGTTTTTCGTTAAAAATGATTACATATTATACGTTATCGTGATATTAATTTGCGATAAGAAAAAGTTGTATAAATATAAGAGGAAAGGGGAATATTATTTTTTCAAGTGAAAAAAGAAAAAGGCAAACGATACCGACTCGTTTTGCTTAGTTTCACTTTTCGGCGATGAAATATTTGCGGGAAGAGACTTTGAACGGGAAAAGGAAGAGGAGGGAAAGGAGGAAGAGGTGGAGGTGGAGGAGTTGATGGAGGAGGTGAAGGTGGTGGAAGAGGAGGATACCAAAGGAGAGCGCAAACGACAAAAGACCTCGACTCGGTTGGTTAGCCAGCGTGAAGTCTCACACACTCTCGCGCCTTTCCATTGTATATTCAACTCTACATACGTACACGTGTATTTTATATGCGAACACGAAGAGAAGATCTATTTGTCTCTGTGTGTGTGTATATGCATGTATTCGCGCGCGAATCCTAATTAGAGGAAGAGGAAAATAAGAGAGAGAGAGAGAGAGAGAGAGAGAGAGAGAGAGAGAGAGAGAGAGGCAATGATTATGTAAATTAATCGACTGAATGTTGTGAAAACGGAATTGACCATGGTTTATGAATAAATCTTATATATCCTTAAAGAAAAAAAAGAAAAAAAAAAGAAAAGAAAAAGAAAAAGAAAAAGATAGAAATCATTTGTTTGATCTCGAATGTTTGATTTCCTTTCGATAAACATCATCGTTCGGAAATGAAATATCATTGATATGTTCATTTCCGTTTAGGATATTTAGAAAAATGTTAAAAATATGATGAATGATTTTCTGAAGATCAATCTTTTCTTTCTTTTCTTTTTTTTTATTTTTCTTTTTTTTTTTTTTTTAATTTCTTTTTTTGTTTTTTTCTTTTCTTTTTTATTTTTATCTATCCACAGGCATACATGAGGCCACCAATGAAGAATACGGCGGTTCAGATCGCAAGGATCGCCGCTATCACTTTGATAACGATTTCGATTATCCTTGGAAGCTTCATCCTTACTTCATCTTGGATTCAAGCTCGTATGTCTTGTACACCAGAAGCTATGGCGGCTATGCAAGCTGAAATGAAGTTTCAACAACAACAACAACAACAACAGGGCGAATTATTGAAACATCTGCAACCGGAGGCTCTCATTCAAGTAAGAAAACAAATTACTATATACCTTTTAATCTAAACGCTTTATTAGATCTTTATTAGTAATTCGATGAAAACGGCATTATACGCCGAGAGATCAAGTTCTTTTTTTGGATATCTTTAGAAATCGCGCTTTCCTTCGATTTCTAGACCTTTCTAAAATCGAGCACCATTCTTCTATCATAATAGATCACGCCTAGATGAAACGATTCTTAAAGACTTTCTGAACTAATCATTGCGATATTTATTTTTACGATCGAAAGTGAAAAAGAAAGAAAACATTGCTTAAGGAATGACGTTAATCCGATTAACGCTTAACTCAAATAACCGAAAGGACAAATTTACTCGAGTATATTGATATTAGCGGACGCATGATAAAAAGAATTTATCTATCTATCGGCATTTATCACAAGAAGTTATTAATATTAATTATAAATATGACGTAAATAATTTCTTTTGAAAACGTTTATTTTATATAGTTGAATAACAACATAAATACGACGTCGAACATATCGAATAAAGATAATTTTACGATTTTGAAATATTTTCAATGATATTCTATGTCGGACAATTTCTATGTAACTTTCCAAACGACGAAAGATGAAATAGCTTCTCACGACAATGAGTAAGAAAGCAAGAAAGCAAGAAAAAAAGAAAGGATCGTGCTTGGTTATCTATGGTCACGCCCTTATTTTGTGGTATTTCATTTTACCGCAGTAAAGATAGTTTTAAAGATGCGTTGAGTAGTAAATACCAATGAACGATATTTATTGTTTTTCTTTGGTATTAAACCACAAAAGTTAATTCACAGATCGAAGATCTTGTTCGATCATAAAACAACTCTTTTGTCTGAGAGAGAGAAAAAAAAATGTTCCTCTTCTTGCTCGTTTCAACTGAAAGATTGCTAAATAAATATACACTTATCCGTTCCTTTCAATTATCACTTGGAATTGAATGATACGATACGACGACCTTCTTTTTATTTGTACAAATATAAAATGGATAGATTTAGAAAAGAAAGTACTCGTACCAATCTTTCTTCCATATTTTATATTATTATTTCTGTAATAGTAATGGTAAAACTTTGATGGTAAAATAATATGTCGAAGAGATCAGGTACGAGGATAGATTTAGAAAGTATACATTATTTATACTTACATACATATGTGTATATACGATCTAACGAGAAGAGTTACATTCTTGAATACAAGAGCCACACGGAATGCAATTCTCTTTGATCGCGTCGCACGTTGTAATCCTTTTACGAGCATACACAACGACATGGAACATTCTCGAAACTCCGAAAGCGTAGTTTAACTGCGCATTTAACCAAGTTCGATATAGAGAAGAAGTGTATATATATGTGTATGTGCGTATATATATATATATGTTTTTAGAAAGTACGCTCTCTGTGTGTTTGAACCAAGAAGATCGCGAAGCGTCGAATTCTCAGAAAGATCGAGAAATTAAATCGTCTGTAAAGATCGTTCAACGCAAGAGCTCATATAAAAATTTTTTCCTCATTAGCATGACCTTTTTATTTTCAAATGATCGACATTTAAAAGGAAAAAGATCTATTTCAAATGTATTTTCTATCGATAGATTTTAGAGTTTCTTTTTTTTCCTATATTCATTTATTTTTTCTTCGTTTCGTCTCTTCGTTTTGTTTGGTCCTTTTTTTTTCTTTTTTTTTCTTTTTTCTTTTTTTTTTTAATCTTATTGATCAACTCGTGGCAAACTTTCAAAGGGAAGTGGTCGGCGTCGCGAAGGCAAAGTAGGTAATAGACAGAGAAGAAAACTGAAAGAAACTGCGCAAAGCGGTGCCAGGAGCTGCGTTCAAGGAGAACCGCAATGAGAAATTACGTAATTCGTCTTGCGCTCTTCTCAACGCAAAGAACGGACTCCTGATCTCCGCGAGCATGAGAGAATTTATTTTCCTTCTTCTTTTTCTTTTTTATTTTTTTTTTTTTTTTTTTTTTTACAAATCGACGCGTTAGCTTACTTCTTTTCTATAGTACGATTAAACTACTTTGCAACTCGAAACCGCATACTCGTAAATGAGATTCCCGTTGTAAAAGATCTATGAGAAAGGTATAGGGAAAGTTTGTACACATATAAGATCAAATTAACCAACCTATGTATTATGGACAATTTTATTTAATTATAATGTGAAAAAAAGAAAAAAGAAAAAAAAAGAAAAGAAAAAGAAAGTTTGAAAAAAGAAAATATGTTTCTTTGAAAATAAACAAAATTATAAAATTTACAGATAAAGACGCGCATTATCTCAATAATCGTTACAATATATATATATATATATATATATATATATATATTTATATGGAAGAGTTTTGAGTAGCTTCTCGGAAATTGACTTAACAAATTCTATTATTTGACGTGATCTTTAGAAAATAAGATATATATATATATACATATATATATGTTTTCAAGAGTATAATCTCCAAGACATTATCACGGTCTGTCGCGACTAATAATAGAAATCAGAATTAATCGTTAGAACGCTACTTTATGTCCCACGCTAGCGATAAAATAACGACGATGAAAAAGAAAAAGGAAAAGGAAAAAAAGAAGAATAAGGAAAGAAAAGAAAAGAAGTCGTTTCATTTGCGTGTTCACGGAAGTGAACGGTTGGTATGCACATTGAAGCGAGAAGCGATTTTCTCTTTTGGCTAATAATCAATTTCTCTTTGCTCGTTTATTCTCGTCTATAAAGAAAAATGATATCGCTCTTAGGATATTTATCAATCGATCGGTCTCTATTTGAATACTATTTAATTTTTTTTTTTTTTAATAAATTCATTATCTATATCTTTTTATATCCTCCAACTAAGGTCATGAGATCAAGCGTAGAATTTCAATGATGAATTAAAGACTTAACGATTAGTCGTGATGTCATTCTATTTGTAAAATCTGGAAAAAATGTCTCGATCGAATTTCGTTTTCTTACACATAAACAAACACACTTATAAATGTATATATTATACATATATATATATATATATATATATATATATATATGTATGTATATATATGGATTCATTACCGTTATGCACGATTGACAGATCTTTCGCATTCACGTCGCATAAGTTGATCTTACTTTCTATCGACGACTTTAAAAAAAAAAAAAAAAAAAAAAACCGGAAATGATATATCGTAGAAACTTGAAGTATATTGTGGACGTAGTTACTTGTAATAAAATGATCGAAACAAAATTAACTAAACGAGTTTTCACTCGTATAGTTTTTACTATCCGAGTACGGATACTAATCCGATACGAGATTTTTTTTTCTCTTTCGGAATTACTTCCGAATTTCCTTTTGCCACATTTGCACACAACCAGTTTTGTAAGAAAGAGAGAGAGAGAGAGAGAGAGAGAGAGAGAGAGAGAGAGAAAATAACAATGTCTTCTTGTTTTTTTGTATATTATTCATAAAACTCTTACGTTTTCTTCTTACGTTTTAAAGAAAAAAAACAAAAAAACAAAAGAAAAAGAAAAAGAATAATAAAAAAGAAAAATAATAACTCAATTATTTACTAATTACTGAATTGATATAGGTTTATCATCGAGATATAATACGCATCTGAATTGGATAAAATGTTAAATAGGAATGATATACGTTGTAAGATCAAACATCAGATATATTCGCGTATCGCATATACGAAACAAAAGATTTCTTCCGTGGTGAGATATTAAAAACAAGATATGCCGTTGGTCACCTTGACATTAATTATAACAACGTAATCATTATTATCAGCATCATTATCATCATTATTCCGTTTCTCGATATCCTTTAAGAAAGGAACGTTTTTACGATTGGCTAGAATACGCTTAAAAAACATTACAATTTCTCTTCTTGCTTTTTTTTTTAAAGATGTTTATATATATATTTGATATACCTTTTTGAAAGTTTGTTACGTCGACGAATAAAAACAAATAAGATGATGATTTGTCGAATTAATATTACGTTCTTGACATTAATACGGCACCGAGTGAAAGAAACATATAAGTAATCGTTTCGCTAGTTAAATTCCAAAGGTTATATCGTTAAGATTTTGAAACTATCAACGGCAATATGATCAAGTCTTAAGGAGGCTGCGCTGTATTTTTCACGACACTCCGTGGAAAGGTACGTACCACAACGGAAAGTGGGTTGCCCGTTGCACGCACCAGCAGCAAGGTGAACGTTCTCTGAAAAGATTTTCTCTCCGTAAACTAACTGTATTGTTACCCCGTTCGCTTAAGACGTTGTTACAGACGTTCACAGAATGTGTATACGAACAACCAGAAGAAAGCGCCAATAGAAACAAAGAGAGAGAGAGGGAGAGAGAGAGAGAGAAAGAGAGAGAGAGAGAGATTCTCTTCGGATATTATCTGAGAATAATGAGATCGTGTACTTAGATCTATATCTAATTTTTCACGAAAAGAAAAAGAAAAGAAAAGAAAAGAAAAGAAAAGAAAAGAAAAGAGAAGAGAATAAAATGAAATAAAATAAAATAAAATAAAATGAATTAGATTTTGATGAGGCTTCTTGATCTAGGATGAACACTCACCTTTCGAAATTGCCGAAGCGAATAGCAAATTTTCCAAAGAAAGTCTTTGGCGAGGGAGCATCTCTCTTTTACTTCTCGCCAGAATGCACTGGGATACTACAATTTTGTTGTGCACGACACACGCACTCTCTCTCTCTCTCTCTCTCTCTCTCTCTCTCTCTCTCTCTCTCTCTCTTTCTCTCTTTCTCTCTTTCTCTCTTCGCTCTAACTGCATAAATGCCTATATATATGTATGTATGTATATACGTATATGTACGTATATATATATATATATTTAAAGACCTCTTTTCTACAGAAACACCATTTACTCTATGCACATACGATCGTATTTTATCGAGTTTCATACACTGCATCCTGTCCTACCTTGATGATTATACAGCTTGTCACTCGTGCATCGTGAAATCCTTTCTACGTCCTGAGTAATTTCTCAAGTGGAAAGTGCTTAGATAATTACTTATTCTTGTCGTCATAGAAATCATCGTTAAATTAATGCAATGATAATTTTTTTGTAAGATGATATTAAAAAAAAAAAAAATAATAATAAATAAATAAATAAATAAATAAATAAAAAACAAGTAAAAAAAAGAAAGAAAGAAAGAAAAGAAAAAAAAAAAGATAATAATGTTTTATTCCTCAGGATAAGGATTTAGGATCGATACGAGATATGAGATCTTTAGGATATATGATTTCGTATGAGAAATGTTTTCTTTATTTCTCTTCTTTGTATTCCTCTTGAAATTATTCGTTTTCGTCATCGTTACGCGTTTTCGTCATGTTCGAATGTGTCATTTGTAATAGGTCAACGACAATCGTGTTTCACAAAAAGCCCGATGCAACTTATGTATGTATGTATGTATGTATGTATGTATGCACGTACGCGCGCTTCCTGAACGTAAAACTATAATTTCGGCGTACACGATTGCAAGACATAGAGATTGGGGACAACTATACATTTTCTGAGCGAACGTTACAAAATCTTTTGAAATACTTGCACGATCCCAAAAGTGGGATATATATATATATATATATATATATATATATATATATATATATTGTAAAATATGCCGAAACAAAAAGATAAATGAATAAAATCGATTAACCTTTCTTCTCGAGGATGTTTGAAGAGAATATTAAGAAACGGTTAGAAAAGAAAAATCTAGATACTATTTAATACTTCGAAAGTTGTACTATAGTCATAGCGGCAATTATCCGTTCATTGGTGCAACTCTTCTTCCTGGTCGCGATGGATCAGGTTGCGGGAGAAAGTGAATTGGCTTTGGTTTATCGCACTATGACCTCGAGGAATGGTAGAAATCGAATATGAGCTATACGATGAGTTTTATGAAAATAAACTATTTGTCGACGCGTGACCAATCGTTAATAATAATTTCGTAAAATTATTTATATTCGGTTATAACTGTATGATAAAATAAAAAATAAAAAACAAGAATAAGAGATTACGTTATCAATCTAATCAGAAATGTAAAACTTCCTTTTTCTTCGTTCTCTTCTTCTTCTTCTTTTTTTTTTTCTTTTTTTTTCTAATTAACTTTACGTATGATTGTAATAGGATCCCATTGAAGCAAAGGAAAGTTTACAAAGTCTTGCAGAAACGACTAAGAAGGAAAATGAAGTAAATACTAAAGATATGAAGGTTCAAAAAGAAGAGGATAATGCTTCGAAATCCGACAATGAAAGTGGCGATCGCGATGAGGACGACGACGATTACGACGACGATCAGTTTCCCCCTGTGCATATTAAACTTCCTCTTCAGCTCGATTTGGATGATATCGCTGGAGTAAGTTGAACGTTGAATTTAAAGCTGATATTATCTATTGAAAATATTTATGTATATCCGTAACAAAAAAAGAAAAAAAAAAAAAAAAGAAAAGAAAAGAAAAAGCTGGAACCACAGTATTTAACTTTTCCTTCTGCGTAATTTTTATTTCATCAGGCACTGATGCAACAAGCACGAAGTAGAGTTTCCTGTGTAGTTGAAAGACGAAGAGCCGATGAAGTAATGGACGGAACTAACGACAACGGACTGGATAACAGTACCGATCCTCAACGCTTCCAAAGATTAAGCGGTGAACGCGTTGCTATCCTTTGTGAATCAGGCAATCCTAATCAGGAGTAAGCACAGTTTAAAGAATTAAATTAAAAGAATGTTATTAAAAAAAAAAAAAAAAAAAAAAAAAAAAACATTCAATTATTACAATATATGAGATGTGACAATTGAAATGTAAAATAATATCATTGTTTTACAGGCAACAGGAGCAAGAAATGCTTACTCCGATCATTGTTCCATTAGGAACTGTACAAATTCCCCTTCAATCGCAAGAACCTAATCCGAATTATCATCAGTATCAAATTCATACACAATATCAAGTTCCTGATATGCAACAATTGCCGTTAAGCGATCCACGAGGCTTAAATCATATACCACCTAATGTCCTTCCTGCTGAACTACGTAATCTTCCTCAACTAACAATGGAAATGAGACCACCGCGAATGGGCCCGCAAGCTCCAATGATGGGACCTCAAACTGGTGCAACAGGACCACAGGTTAATATTTAATTTTATTCGAGAAAATTATGTTTATTGATTTTTTTAAGATATTTAATATTATTATTATTATTATTATTATTATT